AAATAAACGTTGTTTGTAAGTTCATTTGATAATGTGTAAAATGATTTATTTTGGTTACTATACAATAATATACATTGAATTTCATTTTCAAAATTTTCATGAAAATTGCATTAATCTGGAGGCGTGCTGCTTTAAAACACATTAATATAGTCGTTTATTAACTCGATGGCACGACGTTTACTTCTGTATGAATTACAATCAAATGAATACTAGGGGTTATTTCTAATTCCATAATACATATAATACAGAAGAAATTCAATATTCAACTTTGATTTTTTCTATGATTTTATTTGTTTACGTAAGCATTTTTATATTCACTGAAATCTGAGTTATGCAAATATGCAAACTACTTACGCATTGCAAGCACGGTAATTTGATAATTGACAGTTCACATATTGTATATTTTCCTTACATCTTTATATCTAAAAGCTCAACCATTCAAGTTTCTCGTTGAATGAATACCACTATAGATATTATTGATGAAGAGAAGACCTACTCAATTCGTTTGAGTAACTGACATAAGTGATTTGGACGAATGCATGAATTTTATATACACAAACAACTTTCTTCAAACAACAGTTTTTTAACTTTAGAATATTAAAAAATGAGTCAGCTGATATCTATAGACGAGTTTCTGGTCCTTGAGGTCGAAACGCCAAAAAAAAGTGTATAAAACGCCCTAATGCACTGAATTCATACAAAATCTTCTTCATACGGATAGAAATTAGCAGACGACTTTTAAACTAACTTATTGAAAGGTAATTGTAATATGTGTATGTAATTCCTATAATCTCATCTAGCGTTTCTATATTTGAGGCGTGCCATGACAAAACCAACATAATGGGTTTGCGACCAGCATGGATCCAGACCAGCCTGCGCATCCGCGCAGTCTGATCAGGATCCATGCTGTTCGCTTACCAACACTATTACAAGTGGAGAAACTGACAGCGAACAGCATGGATCCTGATCAGACTGCGCGGATGCGCAGGCTGGTCTGGATCCATGCTGGTCGCAAACCCACTACATGTATGTTGGTTTTGTCATGGCACGGCTCATTTATATGTAAGCATCATTGGTGTGACACTGCTTACAGTAATTTTGTACGCTCATTTTAATCAACTACTTAATGATGATGTTACATTAAATTTTGTCAAGTCCGTAAAACTCCATTGCCTTAATTTGCCTTATATTAGACTAGAAAATATATGTATTCATGTCAAGTATTACTATATTGCTATACGCTATGGTAAGCGAATATATAATTATTCTCTTAATGCAATTACCGGATTGTAATACAATAAACAAAATAAAAACAAAACAAAAATATACAATATATTACTGTTAAGTTGGTGCACATTGTTAAGTAGAATGAATAGTTCCTATATGGTCTTATAAAAACCATTTTGGTATTGTACATGTTTATCTCAGGTTAAGATTGTATCTAACATCTTAATTTATTTGTATATCTCAAGTACATTTCACAATTATGTTCTGAATGTATAATAAAATCATACAGTGTTTAAATATTGAATAAATATTGATGTTACAGCTTAAATCTGCATGTGTATTTTCTACAGTTACAGAACACTATATTAGAACATGTCTCTTTTTCTTTGTATCTTGTTTTGATTGTAAACAATAAACTTTACATTTTATTATAGGTACTGTATTCGTTTGCCCTTTTCCGGTATATTAAATCAAAACCAAAAAGGAACAAAATTATTACGGCATAATATATAGATTATTATATAAAAGTATCGCTTTAAATAAGCTAAATTATGCAAACTTATTTGAGAATTCTAAAATTACGATATCAAACTAAAGAGATTTTGAATTGATTAAAGATTGCCTTTAACGAGGTGAAGTAGGGTCATCAACGTATAATCCGCATTAAAAGATTTAAGGAGATTTTACTTATTAAATAGCATTAACGGATAAAGATGTGCGCATACATCTGACTCAAACATATTTTAATAGTTATTCGAACGTGTATTCATTTGTAAAGACATAGTGACATTGTGTAACATATCAACATATATTGCCGACTTTTAAACTGCATTATAAAATATTAAAGGCCCATCAAGTCTTAAAAAATGGTATTTTTTATTTTTCAAAGCCTATTTATATTTGATGCCCTGTTACAGTTTCAAAAGAAACGTTACTCATCGTTAATGCAATAAGTACAGTTATAGTGTGATTAAGTATTTTGTATGGAAGTCAAAAAATCATTTTGTTTACATTTTGCTACTATTATGACGAAGTGTTTCACATCCAGCTGATAATTATCTTACATGTTCTAAATCCATTATTATATTATAAAGCACATATTTGCGTTTCCTTCAGAAAGAAATAAAATCATTTCTAAGCCATTATGTACCATAAAATGCAAAACTATTGATTCCCTAAAAAAGACCTTTGACGTTATATGAAAAGGTTATTACACGATCTGATGTATATTTCAATTTAAATTTTAACAGTATATAAGCCACTCACCTGTTTCGGTACACTTGTTTAGAGCAAATTGAATCATGTGAAGCTAGTCCTGGAATATATCACAAGCACGTATTTCCAAAATGTTTAATGTGTCAAACATTAGAAGCTGTATAAACAATAGAAGTTCAAATATATCTCCCAGACATAAATCTAAAATTAATAGGAATTTCCCGAGCACATGCCCTGCCAATTAAGTTACACTGCACTGGATTTCTTCTAAGATGTATATGATTATAGAAACGTTTAATATAAATAAATTGGTCTATAAACATTTACAGCTTTCTCCGAGTGTTTAAGCGTTGGATTATAGATTGAATACGTAGTAAAATTTCAATCAGCTAATTTAGTATTGATGGATAGGAATATTTATTGATCAGTTTTTTGCATTCATGACCTATGATTATTATAATAATAGTTAACAATCGTGAAATGAGAAAATAAGCACTTCTTGAATATATTTATTATAAATAGGGCGTTAAAATGGCATCGATGTAATTTCAAGATATATAAACATCTTAAACATCTTTAAATGATAAATGAATGTGATCAAGAACAAGCTAGCTGTCCTGTTCTGAGAAAATGAAATTAAATTTGCATTTGCTACCCGTCATACAGTCAATGTATGGGAATGCTGACTATATAATGTTAAATAACATTTATTTGTTATTGTTGCTGCTGCTGCTGCTTTAGAATTTAAAGAGATTAGAAAAGAAATACGTTTATCTATATCAAATTCATTAGACATGTTTTGGTGTGCTGTGATGCCAAACACCTGTGAAAAGTATAAATGTACAAGGCAAAATACTTTCTGATGACTCTTATAACATTTAACTTTCCACCCTGATAACACTTTTGACATTGACAGAGAAACATAATATTAAATTAAATTTATTTGTGTAAATATTAAAAAGACTAAACTAATATGGTTCATGAAAACTTGTGTGTTATGTCATTTGTGTAGAGTTTTGCTGAAGTTGCACATTTTACATTATATGGGTTTGAAGCCCTATGGGAGATCTGTTTTCAGTACTATTCAAGAATATTTTAATATATTGGGGACTAGGACACTTTATAAAAAGTTTTATTGCATAAATAATATTGATGTATTATCAGAAGGCTTTCCAAATTGACGATGTTGTCTACAATTTCATGTCATTTCGATGTCCATTTTATTTATGCAATTAAAGGACCATCATGAACATATTAAAAATTCAAACATTCCTTTGAATTTTCAAACATTCACTTTCAAGTTTAAATATATATTAGATCATTTTAAGCTATTTGAAACACAGAAGCACCGGCTGCCAGAACAAGAGATGTCGGTAGAACAGCGTGTTAGACATTGTTCTCAGTGCTTTGATAGTAAAACACTAGCCTCTTCAAAAGGGTCTATAATGCGTCAATCTCAATGTTGGAGATTTAGTCAGTGACCTCATATTATGCCCCCATGTAAGTGTGTGAAGCTTCAACTCATTCCATTTAGTACGTTTTTAGTTTCCAACTTGCACGCAAACCATAACCAAAGTCACGGTGAATATCATTATCAGTACCCTATTTAAACGGTACCCTCTTTTCAATTCTCTACTGATAAAATATGGTATGTTATGTATAAAAGAAGTAAACGACGGAACATTTGAGTGTTTTAAATACTGGTGTGTCTTTCTTAGACTTCATATAAAAAAGTGTTCCGTGGTATATTTCTATTTCATACGGCATACCACCTTTTATCAGTATGTCGCCGATTTGCTTTCAAAAGAGAATGACATTGTACCCTTTGAGTTCATTTCGCAAAGAGTGTGCCGTTATGGACACGCACCCCGAAACCCACGCCGGCATCCATCACGATTTCTTTTAGTCCTGTAACTCAATTCAAATGGTATTATATCATAAATATAATGCTCAAATAAAAAGATTTATCAATATTGTAAGTTCCAAAAAAAAGCATTATTTGTAAAGATGTAACCGACACCCCCTATTTTACGAATATGTTGTCACATCATCTGAGTTATCATCAGAACTCTGTAGACATAATCGGCTCTTGTAGATTATAAAAAGAAAGGGTATTGTATTCTAATTTCAAAATATCTCGATTTTAATTCAAGTAACAAGTCACGTCTTCAAAATGGACAGTCAATTAAATGATAATTTTTTATCTCTAATAATAATAATAATAATAATAATAATAATGATGATGATAATGATGATGATGATGATACCCAAAAAACTACATTTAAAAAAAACTTGCATATGAAAACGAAAGTTGAATGACTTGTAGCTAAAAATAAACAAAGTGTGTTTCTATATTTAGCTTGGTTACACCAATTCCTAAACGAAATAATTATGTTTTTCACTTTTTTATTGTTAATGTAAAACATACAACATATCAAAAAAATGTTTTCATCGGAATGTTAACAAAAACCACTTTTGCTATGTCCTCTGATAATGTTATTACGTATTTATCCCCAATCATTTAGTAGTGCATGGTAGTGTATCGAACGAAATTTGTGCTATTTATAGATCTGGATTTCCCATTAAAATTACGTATGTGAAATTCCGTAATACTTTCCTCTCAAATTTACTGCGATTAAAAAGACTTAATTTACTGTTATCATTTTTGTTTTTGGTGCATAAGAAAAAGAAGTGCGGAAAATGAAAAACTGATTGGTGAGTAAAATCTCTAAATTGAAAATAATGCGGTATTAGTGTAGATTTATAGTTAATATTAATGTACTTTCGGTTTAAAGATACATAAATTGTTTGTTAGTAACAATCTCAGTGTAATATAAACGATACAAATCCAGTAATAAGATTTGATTTGATAGGTTTATTTAAGCTGGGTTACTTCTAATAGATTTGTATTGTAGTTATTAAGTGATTAAAAACTCTGTGTTCTGAACAAAAAGTACATCTACTAGACAAGCACGTTCCTGTTAAATTTTAAATTTAACTGTCTTCTGACATCATAATGCTAAATAACTGACGACCGATATCTTATGAAATACAGTGTTCATGTTAAATAAAAATGGTTGTCTAAAATCTTTAATTATCATGTAGATGTAACCACAGGGATAATTAAGACGCTTCAATGATCTCTCTCTCCCTCCCCCACCCCCTCGCCAGTAACTAATAGTATACTAAAAACAATTGTTTGATAGTGTCATATTATTGCTTTTATGAATACTGAATGTCTAAATTGACTTTTATTTATATTTTTGCGGGTTTGTAACACGAAGGGTTGTGGTTAGCGGTAAGGGATAATTATTAAGATCCAAGCGTCTTATCTCTGTTGATCTAACGGGTCAAACGCTTGGTTACAACTTCTTTGATGTTTTATTTTATTTTTGGTTGTAACTTCTTTGATGTTTTGTTTCTCTATATTTTTTTCAGAAACCATCAGTATTTTGAATTTAATGTCAGAAAATGTCAGGTAAGTGATTTTATTGGTCCATCATGTAAAGTAAAAAGTACAGTAGGTACAAACATGTAGAACTATATAACTAGATCTAATTCGTTTAGATCCATTCTTTTTCATCGGTAGTTCTGATCTTTTCCAGTACATGTATGTTATTTTCAAGTGATTTTTTTTTCTCTTGTACATGTAGATCATTTTGAGTTAATTAAGATGTAAAAAACACAAATTGTGGACTAGACATATGAATTGAAAATCAGTAGATTCTATTTTTGTAAATATTGTGTTTGCATAAAATGATTTTTTTTCAACATTTACCTCTCAAAAGTAAGACTAAAATTTCCACTGTAAGAGCAAATACATATTCAACAAGTACATGTTGACATTTTCTTGACGTAAGCATTTTTCAAGTTTCGAATACACTAAACTTCGGAAGTTTATTTTCTATTACTTCAAATCATTTAGATAACTTCTGAAACAGTACTTAACACTCTTATGTCAGATGAGTTAAGCTTTATAAATCGAGATATTTCCTTATAAAATATTGAACTATATACTGTATCATCTCTGTTTATAAAAAAAAACAGGACGGGGGTGATATTTGTCATTGCAAGGAAGATTTTATTCAGGAAAGTAATTGTCAATTTATGCATGTAAATGTTCCAATTGAACACTAAGATAAAGCCTTTATCAAGATTGTTAATATATGTCTGTCATCTGATCTTATTAATATAGAAGTTGCCTTTACCTAGGGGTGAAACGGTTCAGCAGACTCATACAGTAATAATTATGCTGTTTTATAGTCAATCCATACATCAATACATATTGTGGTTAATCAATATAGTCAATCCATACATCAATACCTATTTTGATTAATCAATAGAATCAATCCATACATCAATAAGTGATAAATACCTATTTTGATTAATCAATACAGTCAATCCATACATCAACGTCAGTTCCTACTTTGAATAATCAATACCGTCAATCCATAAATCAGTACCTATTTTGATTAATCAATACAGTCAATCCATACATCAACGTCAGTTCCTACTTTGAATAATCAATACTGTCAATCCATACATCAATACATATTTTGATTAATCAATACTGTCAATCCATGCATCAACGTCAGTTCCTACTTTGAATAATCAATACCGTCAATCCATAAATCAGTACCTATTTTGATTAATCAATATAGTCAATTCATATATCAGTACAGTCAATCTATATATACATGTATTAATAGCAATTCTGATAATCTAATACATGTATCAATACCTGTTTTGATAAACTAATTCAGCAATACCTTTTTATTTGTTTGGGTTGTCAGACCAAACAAATAATGGTATCGAAATTTCAGACTCTGATGTGCTTATTTGCAAATTCCGAAAGTAGTCCAAACTCATCGAAGCGGTTACTTCCCTTTATAATTACACTAAAGCCGAAAAATTAAGGGGAGAACACTGCGTAAAGATTGTCAAATGACAGGCACATTAATTTTCAAGCCTTCTCGGGGGAGAAAAATAAATAGTTCCCGATTGGTATTGTGTTATTCTTTACAGATATACATGCTTATATTAAGCTTTACAGATATACATGCTAATATTAAGCTCCATGATTATTTACATCAGTGTTAAACAACAGGTTTACCGTTAAAAAAAATATATCGAAATAACAAACCCTTATTTAGAATAGTGTGATTTTCTTCAGTCTGTGATTTTATAACTTCCCCGTGGTCGAGGGGTTACACGTTCGATTAGGAAGCGAGCGGTCTGGAGTTCAAATCTCAGTTAGAGCAACTTTTTTTTGAATATAAGAGCCCATTGTAGCTGCGTAGCGGTAAAAGTTAACTTAACGGAGAACACATTTGTCGAGTTCTGGATAACATCTATACATAGCAATACCTATCTGTCCAATTCTAATTATCAGATAAGTGAATATAATAAGAATTCCATCAAAACATATTTGTTAACAAAAGAGCGCATGTCAATGTTTGTGGTTAATTAAATCTATTGTTATTCAAATGAAACGGCAGGGTAGGGGTCTATCAATTTTGATAAACCAGTTCACTATACCTGTTTTGATATTGAAACATGTCAATTTATCAATTTGTGTCTGAATTTAAAAGACCATAATAACATACAATTTACAGTTACAATTGTTACAATTGATAGTGTATATCAAAATTCATTTTTATCTTTTTAAGACATTTCTGTGTTCTTTCTTAAGCTCATCTGCGCACGAAAATGCTTATGATGCCTTATTATGACCGGTTCTGTCTATCGTCAATTTGTTTCTTTACATGAGCCAAAAGGTGAATGATCACGTGACATTTGTTTACGATAACATTGGGTAACAGCCACATGGTCACCCACCCTGAATTACCAAAAAACGTCATCTCTTCCTTATCTGCTAGACTGATATAAACTGACGAAGACAAACGATTGAGCAGTTCATTTGGAATGACCAAGCAATATGTTGCTCAGACTTACAATAGTTTGAATACATGAATCGTTTACTGGATAATTATTAGGCTAATGCAAATTGAAATGAAGAAAATGATTAGATCAGTAAATGAAATTAAGTATTGTCAGTGCGTCGTAAGATTCTGACGTAAATAGGCGACATGTTTCTAGATTCGCAGAGGTTTTTTCCATAGAAACAAAAGAAATACATGTATTGTCAGGTATACAGATGGGGTATTTTTAATTTTGTGATTGAAACGCAATAGAAAATATATATAGAAGTAATTTCAGTTCAAATGAACATACACATGTAATTTTAAACCATACGATATCATTTAATTGGATACATATCTTACTTGTAGGATCAAAGGACTGGAACGATTTGGACGCTGGTGGAGACAAGGGAAAACCGCCTAAACGTGGTATGTAATATCCACAAATGTGAATGGTTTTCTTATCTTTATAAGCATTGTCACAAAAAAATGAGAACCAAGGCGACGTTCACAGAACAAAGCCCCATGCATCCCGCAGCCAGTAGTACAATTATTGAGCACATGGAGTCATGTTTAACACAAAAAAGAAATGAGAATATTCCTTGATAAGTTAAAGATGTTTTGATTTTTTTTAAATCGTTATCCGCTCTTTAATGAGGGAAGTATAATCTTAGAAGAAAACAGCAGGACAAAAATTAGTTTCCATTTGCCACTGTAGATTTGATTTAGGGGCAGATTAATCTCGATTGTTTAAGCAGGACAGTGTATCTGTTTTGATTACAAGTAATGACCCGTTGATTTATATGTCATTTCTCCACTGCTATAGTTTATTGTATATAGTGTCAGTGCATTTATTATTGAAGTAAAGAAAGTCAAATATTGACGTATTTATTAAAAAAGATGAACAAAACTGAATTTTGTTATAAATACATGTATGAGACTTATTTATAGGTGCAAGACCTGATTTACAAGAAAAAATGCGAAGAAGGTTTCAAAATCGAAATCCAGAGTCAAGCAGTGAAAACACATCACCTGTTCTGTTCGAAGATGCAAGTGGTCGGACGGGAGCTTTTAGACAGGTACCAGAAGGTGCTGCAGCTTCATCAGGTGAACCAAGGGAAAAACAAAGGGGACGAGGAGAAACTCCTGTATTAAATGATCCAGACGCAAATGGCAATTTTATGTTTCACGATGGCCACAATTCAGATTTAGGAAAGTCAAGGACATCAAAAAGTCAAGGTCGTAAGTTACAAGATCAAGGTGCGTCAGGTGGACAAGACCATTTAGATAAGGCATTAAATAGTGTTATAGGTGAACTGGACAGAGATGATATGTCTCATAAGGGCAAGAAATCTCAAGGAGGGTCAGAAGCGGTATTTGAAAATAATTTTGATGATGTGGAATCTCCCCAAGCATTCAATATCCCTGCAGGCGGCGGTGTATTTGCAAGATCGGGACCACAAGGTGGAAACAGTCTTCCACAAGGTTTGCATCAATATCAAAATGGTTAGATATAGTTCATACGTACTTTTATTCTTATGCTCATTGTGTAGAGGACTAGAGGTTGAAAATAGCATCTTAATCTTAAATGCTTACAATAGGACCTAACAATAATATTATTACATGTATTATAAAGATGCTTAAAGGGACTTTACTAAGGTACATAGCGTGACAGGACTAGAAATATTCTTCAAGATTAATGTATTATTTGATGAAGGTCTTGACCTATAATATGTATGCAAAATTATTGATATTTCACTTTATTCCAGCATGTTTATATGAATTGTAAAATATGACCTTCAGAGAAAAATTTTTTAACACTTTTAACTTTTATGACCAAAAATTATATCTGAGTATGTTTTCATTTTTTTGTTTGCATTTCCTTCCGTTTTAGGTGGCTCAGGGGATCTGTGTAAGAAATAAAAACTTTATGTTTTCAATAAGTTGGACCTAAGTGTAGTTCCTTTAATGTATTGAAAAAAAAATCAGCTATTTACGTAAGGTAAATCTACTCAATGTAGATGGTCAGCTTAATACAGAACATGTACTTTCATTAAAATGCATCTAATATTTGTATAGGAACATTTAATTATTTTGAAACAGGTTCAGGGAACCTTAAAAGAGGGCATGGAAGGAAGGTTGATAAAAAAGATGATGAAATGATGGGCAATAAACAAGAACAACATCAAGCACCAGATGCTATGCAGGAAATGCTGAGATCTTTGATGGGTGGAGGTCAGAATGTTAATGAGAGAGAAGATCCATTAGCAGCACTATTTGGAGGTCAGCCAGGTGGTAATGGTGGAATGGGAGGGTTATTCGGTGATGGAGAAAATCCATTAGCTGCATTGATGGGGAATAGAGGTGGTGATAGAAATGACAATGAAAATCCAATGGCAGCTTTGCTTGCTGGTGGTGGAAGGGATCCATTAGCTAATATGATGGGAGGAGGTGCTGCTAATTCTAAAAAAAACAAGCAGAATTTTGATAATGATTTAATGTCATCACTTGTAGGTGATCAAAATAAACAGAGGAAAGAAAATGTACAAGCTAGTAGGGCAGCAAAAAAACGTAATGGACATGATGCAAGCTCTGAAGATGAAAGCAGTTCTGAGGATGAAGATGAGGATGATGATAGTTCTGCGGAGGAAACTCCTTTTGCAATGGGACAGGGAAAAGATCCAATCCGTGCAATGTTAGATGAAATGACCAAAGATATGGAAGTAAATGCTAGTCCATTGGCTGCAAAAGGTGCATCTAAGGTTGGTGGTGATAAGAAAAGAGAACCTAGTGGGTTGGGTCAAATGAGAGGTGTAAAGGGTGCAGGTCAAGGAAGTATGAACCCTTTAGCTTCAGTAGGCAATGGTGATAGACAAGGTGGTGGGGGTAACCCTTTTGCTTCAATGCAAGGTGGCAGTGGAAATCCTCCAGCAGCACTTATGGGTGGAAATGGAAGAGGAAAGGGAGGAGGAGTTGAAGCAGGTGGAAATCCTCTTGCAGCCTTAATGGGTGGAGCAGGAAGTGGAAGAGGTGAACCAGGTGGAAATCCTCTAGCAGCCCTAATGGGTGAAGGAAGTCATGGTGATGGTGGAAATCCTCTAGCAGCCCTAATGGGTGGAAGAGGAAGTGGAGGAGGTGAATCAGGTGGAAATCCTCTAGCTGCGTTAATGGGTGAAGGTAGTCATGGTGATGGTGGAAATCCTCTAGCAGCCCTAATGGGTGGAATGGGAAGTGGAGGAGGTGAATCAGGTGGAAATCCTCTAGCTGCGTTAATGGGTGGAAGAGGAAGTGGAGGAGGTGAATCAGGTGGAAATCCTCTAGCAGCATTAATGGGTGGAAGAGGAAGTGGAGGAGGTGAATCAGGTGGAAATCCTCTAGCAGCCTTAATGGGTGGAAATGGAGGGGGTATGGGAGGAGGAGTTGAAGCTGGTGGAAATCCTCTAGCAGCTTTAATGGGTGGGGGAGGAAATCCTCTAGCAGCTTTAATGGGTGGAGGTGGAAGAAGTATGGGAGGAGTTGAGGGAGGAGGAGATCCTCTAGCAGCTTTAATGGGCAGAGGTGGAAGAGGAAGAGGTGGTCCAGATGGGGACTCCATGGCCTCACTGATGGGTGGAAGAGGAGGTGGTAACCCTCTAGCAGGGCTAATGGGAGGCCAAGGTAGAGGAGGTGGTAGTGGTGGATTACCTGGTATGTTTGGGGGAGGTGGGACAAGTGGTGGAGGAGGAGGAGACCAGATGTCACAGGCTCTTGCGTCAATCATGGGTGGCGCAGGGAGAGGATCAGGGGGTAATCCAATGGCGTCACTCATGTCATCACTTGGAGGAGGTGATTATTTTATTTTTTTTATTATGCATGATAAATCCTGCGGGACAAATAATCTTTCAATTTACAACACTACACACTATATTGTTTTTAGAATGATATTATGAGGTTATTATACATTGTTGAGTACAATACTGAATCATATTGGAGGAGTACACAGCTGTCAAGCCAACATTGAACTAGGTACCAGTCATATATATGTTTTGCAGCTGTGTACAAGTCTAATGGAATCAGTATTGTTCTCAACAATATATAATGACCTCCTTATTTCACATTTTTTGACATTGTGCCAGAACTTTGTTACTTTAAGTACTATAAGGAATTGATATGACTTTGTTTACCCTGGGAATGAAAATGAGCCTAGGTGAAGTATGATATGCATTTTGTTTGTTTGTTTGTTTGATATAGAGGATATTGAATGAGTGTAGGTTTAATACTAAATTTATTGAACGAGTTGAATAAAATCATATTATGCGAGCCTCTGGCGAGCATTATACTGTTTTATTCAGTTAAATAAATATAGTATTGAATCTACATGAATATAATATTCTATTTATTACATATATAAAATAAGAACGGTAAACAAGAGTCTTTTTTATTTGATGCTTATAGTGTAACGCAAACATTAGCGTGATTTAACGCAATGTTTATAGCGCAAATGATGTCACGTCAAAGTGTTATTACACTAGTGTAAAATGGTCTAGTGTAATATCGTTTTTATTAAATGGCTTAATTACACTCCTGCGCTGCGGTTTATGTGATAATGGGTTTTACGTCACACCCTCACATCCGTAAGCTAGCTGGATAGATTCCTCACATGAAAATATCCAAAGTCCCTGTTTGGATTCGAACCCAAAGCAGTGAGGGGCAACTGGTTATATGCATTTTGATATAGATATGTTGGACTCTGAAAATGAAAAGGGGGCTATATGGGGTAAGATAATATCTTATGCATTTGATATGAATTATTTGGACTCTGGAAATGAAACAAGGCTAAATTGTTAAAATTGAATCTCTTCAATTGGAACATCATGAAGATCAAGTGATGAAAGTTCATTGGTTAATTTTACAAGGTGTGAAATAACGAATAAAATTACAGATCGATTGCTATTAAATGATTCAGATACAAAGAGATAATAAACACAATTACTATACACTGTATGAAATGCATTTTTTAAGTTAATTTGATCAACATGATTGCATGTATTTTATAGCTGCTTTAATTATTATCTATGTTGAAAATAACTAGATGAATTATAGGAAAAACTGTATTTTGTCATAGACGTTAATTCTCTTGATTTTTCTTTTCCAATTCTATATATTATAGACCCCTATTTTTTGGAGAATTTCAGTGGTTCTACTTGGGTGCCTGCTACCCAAATGACAATTTCAAGTATAAGACTTAGAAATTTGACGTTAAATCTTTTTTCCTTTTGACGTTAAATCTTTTTTCCTGGTGCAAAACACACATGCCTGAAATAATGCATGGGTGGCACCTAAGGTCTTCCTCCACCAGTAAAGCTGAAACAGTCCCCATATGACCTTTAAAGTGTCACCTGATTTTAAACACAACAAAATAAACAGAACCTGTCAGCCCTATTTATAAGATAAAGACTTTTAAAAACATGAGTAGAGCTGAGACTGATCTGTGTTTTGTTTGTTCAGAGGCAGATACATATTACTCAAATGTATTATATAGAACTTGTATTCACTAAGACTCTCCTACTCAGATAATATTAATCAAAATAGAGTAAAATAAAAGTTGTAAATAGTTTATAAGATCATTGTATGATACAGGAGGTGGTGGGTCTGACGGACCTCAACAACAGTTACTGCGCCAAATGATGGGACAGGCTGGTATCTCAGAGGAAGATGGTAGGTTTTTTTTCACCATTTATCAAAGATATAGAATAATTTGATAATTATTGTTTTACAATGTATGAGAAATATAGAATATTTTTTTTGTTTTGCAGTGACTGGGCCCTCATTTTACAATTTTTGGGGCTGAAATTTGGCCTCATTCCTCTCCCCAAATTGACATATGTTATATAACTTTATATTAAATAATTGTTGTTTTTTTTGTTTTGTTTTTTTTTTAATTTACCTGCCTCAGGCAGACTACCCATAACAAAATCATATTGAAATTTGCCTTATTCAAAATAAGACTTGCAAAATATAATGACAATTAGTATTTTTGTTTATTGGCAGACAAGATTCCTCTTTTTTTCTTTTTTTAAATGACACTATCTGAGGGCCCATTAGCCTAAGTCTCCTATAAGGTAATTAGGACCTTGAGTGACACATAATCAGATATATGTGATTTTTTTGTGACTTCATGTAAAAAGTAAATCTGGTATATGCAATTTTAGTTTCTTCTTTTTTGATACTTTTCTTAAATATTGGTGGTTTCAAGTAAACATAGTTAATATACAAATGCAGTAATATCCCCCTTAGTATATGTTGCTAGTTTTTAATGGTTTCTTTCAACATCTGTTGGTGATATGCAAAATTCATAGTCTCTGATCTCTTTGCAAACTTCCATTCTATTTGGGGCACTCAAATTCCTTTACTTGCATAGGGACCACTTTTCATAGAATGGCACTAAAGTCTTGCATTGAAAGTTAAACTTACCACTCCTGTCCCTGAATGGCATGGCACGCTCAATCAAACCAAGCCAACTAGATTTTTTATGAACTCCAATTCTCAGACAACAATATAAGTGTTCATTATACATTTTTTAGATGTTATCACAGATATATAATTATATAGAGTCTACAATATTTTATAGTTTAGCTCCATGATGTTATACATTTGTTATTTTGTTTTGAATGTTAATTTTATATAACGAAAAACATGTTAAAATTCAGGGATTGAAGCCACATGCTGCATTTCCTAATTAGTTTTTTTTTTATCTCTGGAAGATGATTGATATTGCATGATGAACAGAGATTGTTGTTCATTACATGGACTTCCTGTTGTTGTTGTTTTCAGAATTAACTCCGGAAAATGCTGGGGATAATGAGATCATGCAGCAGTTACTAGCTTATGAATCTATGAGAGGTATGACTAATTTCACGTTTGTTAATCTGACTAGCAGTATGGTTATGATTGCATACATTGAATTTATGATTGCATACATTGAATCATTTATTCATCATGCTTATATGGGTTTAATATTTAGTCACTGGCCAGCAGACCTCTTGAATTTTTTTATTTGCAAAAAATCCCCCACAAATTTAGGCATTTTTGGTCTGTCTGACCACTTGTAAAGCTGGGAGGTTAATTGTCACTTAGTGAAAGTTATTTGTTCAATAATTTCAATAGCAATAGATATGGCATTTAAACAACACACTGTAAAAGCTGTGTTTTAGATGTTTTTATGATACAAGGGAGGGAACCCAGTACTTCATGGTACTATAATGGCAAATTAGTTATATATTCATTCTTGAAAAATGCCTGCATATGTCTATACATACTTATCCTCTACCTACATGTAGGTTTATTAATATTTAATTACAATAAAAATAATAAGAAACTGTGTTTTTCAAATAATTATTCAGATATTTCATATTTAATCAAATTTTTTGTTGTATATTTATATATATTAAATATTTTTTATTTTGATGAGACTAAATTAGTTGCTAAATGAGGAAACCTCTGGACTTTAGAGTAGTAACTCCAGTGTTATTTATATTTTTATGTAACTTTATTTCTAAATTATGAGAGAGTAACATCTTACTGTATATCTCCCCCACAAGTCCACTGCTCCCTATCAGGTCACCTTTATCCATGGGCCACATCTTCTTATAAGATATTTCCTTCCCCTACTTTAACGCCACATCCCTTAATAAGATAGCCTTTTCCAATTTTAATATCATAAGTCCAAATAGGGCCCTTTACACTAGGCCATCGCTCCCAATTAATAAAGATCACCTTTCTCCACATAAGGCCACTTTATTTAATCTTCTAATAATATGTGAGCTTTCCCCACTTTAAGGCAGCATCTGATTTTAAGGCTGACCCCTTTTTATAAGATCACCTTTCCCCATTTCAAGGCTTAATTTCCTTACAGATAACCTCTCTCCATTAGTCCACATATAAAAAGATCACTTTTCTCCACTTAATGGCCATTTCTTCTAATAAGATTACTTTTCCCCCACTTAAAGGCCACTTCTAATAAGATTCCCTACTTTTTGGAAACATCATAATTTTATAAGATCCCATCTCTCTCCCAGTCAGAACATTATTACCCAATTTTAAGGCCACCTCTCCTTTATAAGATCCCCTTTCCCCACTATCTTTTTACTAAATATTTATTTGTTTTCAGCACAAAGTAGCCGTGCTCCTCGTGCTGATAATGCCATGAGTACAATCATTGTAGTGGATACTTCTGGAAGCATGGATGGTCAACCTTTGATAGAAGCAGGGCAATTTATTTCACAGTTTATAAATGGTTAGTTCAAAATTTGACAACTTGTCTAAACACAGAATGATATAGCTTGTTTTAAAATTTAAACACATTGATTTACATCTTCATAGTTGTTTTCAGCACCCTTGAAATGACCTCAAATAAGTAGAAAAGTCTGATTCAGGGGCAGATAACTCAAAAACAAGAACAGTGACCCCAATTTTTTTTCACTTAAAATGATTCTGTTATCATATTCTAACAACATGCCAAGTTTAAAGAAATTCTATTGAACAGTTTTAATTTTGCCTATATGTCTATATGAAAACTCCCGAAAACGTCTTTAACATATTAATTATTTTCATTGATTGATTTCCATTCAGATATTTGGCAAATCATTTGTAGAGCAGATACTTATTTTTATATTGTAATATTTTTTTTCTATTTTGCACTTCAAAATCTTCTTACAGAAATATTATGAATGGATATGTTGCTGAGTTTTTTTAGTTTCATCAAGCAATTGAGTACTAAATAAAACAAAAACTACTGCTCCATATATTTAATAGTATTTGCATTTTTCATAGAATTATAAAAGTTTCACTGGTATATTCTAGGTTTGGAAGAATTACAATTTGAATATAACTTGCAAGAAAATGTGGCGCTGGTCTGTGTAGGTGGGGAAACACAAGTTGTTCAACATTTCACCAATGATTACAGTCTCATTAGACAGGCCACTGGTAAGTTTATGAAAGTTTTGACAATTTTAAATGATAACACTTTATTTCTACTTGTTGAGATATAATTCAAATGTGACAAATCAGTCGGGAGCCTTCTAATTTATAATGATGTAGCTGAAATCATGAAAATCACTGACTTTTTTTCCCCTCATTGCTGTAGATCTATAAGTTCAAATCCCACCAAAGAATTTGAATAGTTTTTTCATGAGGAAACTATATAGCTAGCTTACTGAAGGTCCAAAGTTTTACTCTGAAACTTTCATGTGCCTAAAATGATGCATAGATATTTTCCTTCACCAATAACTATGTCATGGAGAAGAAATGTGTTAGCTTAAAGTTAAGGTCAAAGTTCATAAGGTTACATTTAGAGGTCAATTTTTTTATTTACTGTGTAAGAATGCTTGTCTGTCAGACTGGACACATTATTAAATTTGGAATATATGTACAGATATGTAAGATATTCATGTATGGTAATTGCATGGACATGTTTCTTGTATGATATGTATGGACATGTGTCTTGTATGATATATATGGACAGGAAAGATATGTCTGGGCATGTTTCTTGTTTGATATATATGGACATGTTTCTTGTATGATATATATGGACATGTGTCTTGTATGATATATATGGACATGTGTCTTGTATGATATATATGGACAGGCATGATATGTCTGGGCATGTTTCTTGTATGATATACTTAGACATGTTCCTTGTATGATATGTATGGACATGTGTCTTGTATGATATATATGGACAGGCATGATATGTCTGGGCATGTTTCTTGTATGATATATATGGACACGTTTCTTGTATGATATATATGGACATGTGTCTTGTATGATATATATGGACATGTGTCTTGTATGATATATATGGACAGGCATGATATGTCTGGGCATGTTTCTTGTTTGATATATATGGACATGTTTCTTGTATGATATATATGGACATGTGTCTTGTATGATATATATGGACATGTGTCTTGTATTATTATATGGACAGGCATGATATGTCTGGGCATGTTTCTTGTATGATATATATGGACATGTTTCTTGTATGATATATATGGACATGTGTCTTGTATGATATATATGGACAGGCATGATATGTCTGGGCATGTTTCTTGTATGATATGTATGGACATGTGTCTTGTATGATATATATGGACATGTTTCTTGTATGATATATATGGACATGTGTCTTGTATGATATATATGGACAGGCATGATATGTCTTGGCATGTTTCTTGTATGATATATATGGACATGTGTCTTGTATGATATGTATGGACATGTGTCTTGTATGATATATATGGACAGGCATGATATGTCTGGGCATGTTTCTTGTTTGATATATATGGACATGTTTCTTGTATGATATATATGGACATGTGTCTTGTATGATATATATGGACAGGCATGATATGTCTGGGCATGTTTCTTGTATGATATATATGGACATGTTTCTTGTATGATATATATGGACATGTGTCTTGTATGATATATATGGACAGGCATGATATGTCTTGGCATGTTTCTTGTATGATATATATGGACATGTGTCTTGTATGATATATATGGACAGGCATGATATGTCTGGGCATGTTTCTTGTATGATATATATGGACATGTGTCTTGTATGATAATTATGGACTGGCATGATATGTCTTGGCATGTTTCTTGTATGATATATATGGACATGTGTCTTGTATGATATATATGGACAGGCATGATATGTCTGGGCATGTTTCTTGTATGATATATATGGACATGTGTCTTGTATGATATATATGGACAGGCATGATATGTCTGGGCATGTTTCTTGTATGATATATATGGGCATGTGTCTTGTATGATATATATGGACAGGCATGATATGTCTGGACATGTTTCTTGTATGATATATATGGGCATGTGTCTTGTATGATATATATGGACAGGAATGATATGTCTGGCCATGTGTCTTGTATGATGTATATGGACATATGTCTTGTATGATATATATGGACATGTGTCTTGTATGATATATATGGACAGGCATGATATGTCTGGCCATGTGTCTTGTATGATGTATATGGACATATGTCTTGTATGATATATATGGGCATGTGTCTTGTATGATATATATGGACAGGCATGATATGTCTGGACATGTTTCTTGTATGATATATATGGGCATGTGTCTTGTATGATATATATGGACAGGAATGATATGTCTGGCCATGTGTCTTGTATGATGTATATGGACATATGTCTTGTATGATATATATGGACATATGTCTTGTATGATATATATGGACATATGTCTTGTATGATATATATGGACATATGTCTTGTATGATATATATGGGCATGTGTCTTGTATGATATATATGGACAGGAATGATATGTCTGGCCATGTGTCTTGTATGATGTATATGGACATATGTCTTGTATGATATATATGGACATGTGTCTTGTATGATATATATGGACAGGCATGATATGTCTGGGCATGTTTCTTGTATGATATATATGGACATGTGTCTTGTATGATATATATGGACAGGCATGATATGTCTGGGCATGTTTCTTGTATGATATATATATGGACATGTGTCTTGTATGATATATATGGACAGGCATGATATGTCTGGGCATGTTTCTTGTATGATATGTATAGATATGTGTCTTTAAAGTATGATATATGTAGACATGTTTCTTAAGTGATTTTACATAACTCACTGTTAAAATCTGAGTCATTTAAAAATGTTGTTATTTTTTTAGATTCATTAAGTGCATCAGGATCAAGTCGACTTCAACTTGGTTTACTTTTGCCAATAGCAGTACTTCATAGTGGTGGCCCTGACAGCAGAAATGAAGGTCAGTATTTGTATAACGGTATATGATGCTTCTTACTGAACCCTATCCTGCTGAATTTGTGTAATGGACATGGCCTGCTTTGAATATGGAACAGTCCATCAATTTTTAAGGGATTTCAATATCAAAATACAAAAATTGAACTGCCAACAGTACAGAGCCTCAGGTCAGACTTGACAAAATGCAGGCTGGTCAGTAGCTTCATTTGTACTGGTGGCAAACTGGCTAACCAATTTTGATTTCAGAAGGGTAAGGGTTGAAAATGTTATGACAAAATTCTTTTCTAACTAGAAAAGATATTTGAACAATATTACTGGTATATAAGAAAAAGTGTCATTTAAACTGATAAGAAATTTACTGGGCACCAGTTTCTTTCAATGTATTTACATTAAACACTTGAAATTAACATACTAGTGCAATTATTTTAAATGCACTTTCATATAATTTGTCACTGAAATAATTATGAACCATTTTCTAGACATAAATTTTTAACCAGAAAGATATGAGAATAATAAAGTTTCTGTAACTTAAAATTTTAATACACATTGAAATGAAATCAGGGGTCTCACTTACTCATATATATTTGAATTATTTCATAAAAACAGTATAAAAATGATCAAAATAAACATACCAGTCCTGGAAGAGACAGTTGCTAAATTTCTTTACATCTTTAAAGCATAAAATTAGGAATAACTTACATTGTCTGTCTACAAGATTTTTATCATGTTACATAGTTTAATGAACATATTTTCATAGAAATTGTATAGAGGAGAAAATGCAATCAATTATGAGAATAATCATTTATTTCGGTGTATAAATACATGGCATATCATGTTACAGAATGAGAAACAATATCAAATAATTATTGTCATGAGTTAAGCAACAACAAATAAAAAGCATAATAAAAAACAAAATATGACTTACAATAAAATAAATCTTTAAGACTAGTGATATTTAATGTAGTTCTCTGCATTACATCGTATAGATGGAGAACTTTTGTCTCAACAGGTGCGATATCAAAACTGGTATAACCAGTTTAGTCACATGATAAGAGTTATTGACTGTGCGTATGACTACGGTTAGCGGGCAGTTCTACAGAGACTCTTTCTTTCATTGTGGCTCAGGATGTATGACATGTCCTAGCAGGACCCAAGAACTTTGTATTTCATTACATATACAATGTATATATATATATAAATAACATTTATAGTTTATGACACTGGTTATCATTTTTGTGCATTTAGTTAACATTACATTTATTAATCTTCAGGTGGCATATGTAATATAAATGGACATCTGGCATGTCCCCGTGTTATATTCATCAGTGATGGCTACCCAACCACAAGTGATGACATTCCCGGCCATCAACCACGACCTGATGATAAGATGACCCTTGCTGTAAGTTATATATACACAGTTAGTTACCTGTATCATGCTAATTGTTTTTGCAATGGATGCACCCTTCAATTGTGTTCTTAGCTCACCTGTCACAAAGTGACAGGGTGAGCTTTTGTGATCGCTTTTCGTCTGGCGTCCGGCCGTCATCCGTCTGTCCGTCGTCCATCCGTCTGTTAACTTTTACTTTAAATGACATCTCCTCATAAACCACTAAGCCAATTTCATCCAAACTTCACAGGAATGTTCCTTTGGTAGTCACCTTTAAAAATTGTTCAAAGAATTTAATTCCATGCAGAACTCTGGTTGCCATGGCAACCAAAAGAAAAAACTTTAAATATCTTCTTTTAAAAAACCCTAAGAGCTAGAGCTTAGATATTTGGCATGAAACATCTTCTAGTGAGTGTCTACCAAGTTTGTTCAAATAAATGCCCTAGGGTCAAAATTGGCCCCGCCCCAGGGGTCATTGATTTTCCCTATATGCATATAGTAAAAACTTAAAAAATCTTCTTTTAAAGAACCAAAAGAGCTAGAGCTAAGATATTTAGCATGAAACATCTTCTTATGAGTGTCTACCAAGTTTCTTCAAATAAAAGCCCCGGGGTCAAAATTGGCCCAGCCCCAGGGGGTCTTTGATTTTCCCTATATGCATATAGTAAAAACTTAAAAAATCTTCTTTTAAAGAACTCAAAGAGCTAGAGCTTAGATATTTGGCATGAAACAGGTTCTAATGGGTGTCTACCAAGTTTGTTCAAATAAAAGCCCTTGGGTCAAAATTGGCCCCGCCCCGGGGGTCATTGATTTTCCTTATATGTGTATAGCAAAAACTTAAAAAATCTTCTTTAAAAAAACCCAAATAGCTAGAATTTAGATATTAAGCATGAAACATCTTCTAGTGAGTGTCTACAAAGTTTGTTCAAATAAAAGCCCTGGGATCAAAATTGGCCCCTCCTTGGGGGTCATTGATTTTTCTTATACAGTCGACTATCGTTATCTCGAAGTCATCGGGACCGTCCAAAAATATCGAGATAACGAAATGTCGAGATAAACATATTAGGGTTTGAATAAGGCAGAAAGTGATTTTTACAAAAGACATGTGCATACTTTATGTCAAATAAACTATGATATCCCCATGTCTTGTTTTCATAGCCTAGACAATATTTAACAAAGTAAAAACGGATGTTTACCAGCGGAAATACGGGTGTCTTTGATAAAAACACATAGTGAGGTTTACTCAGTAATACACCAAATAGTGAAAACATTGTTTTCAGGGTGGTTAATCCGGATACCCTCCCGGGTTAGTTATCGTGTCTTTCTCGAGATTGTTCGACCGCTGATTGATTTGGTGGTGATGTTGTCAAACGATAGCGTTTCTATACTTTCACTATTTCACTTACATTTAAAGTCATAATGAATTGATACAGTGTTCGAATATTTATAAAGAACGTAAAATTTACTCATTTTGGACATATGTCAATCGCTAAATAGATTACCTTTTAAAAGACAGCTAAATATGTTACAAACATAATCAACATTATGACACGCGCTATTGAGCAATTATCGTCTAGTTTGTGTTTTTCACACGTCTGAATGGAACAGACGAAAGAAAACTATTAGTCGAGATAAACAAAGAATAATAGTGTGAAAATAACTGTTGGGGCTGAAATTTTACATCGAGATACTGAAAATATCGAAATAAAAATATCGAGATAAACAAATATTTCCAATAAAGATAAAGAAGGAAGAAAATCGGGACTTTCAAAATTTCACCGAGATAACGTAATATCGAGAAAAGCGATGTCGAGATAACGATAGTTGACTGTATGTGTATACCAAAAACTTAAAAATCTTCTTTGAAAAAACCCAAATAGTTAGTGTTTAGATATTAAGCATGAAACATCTTTTAGTGAGTGTCTACCAAGTTTGTCCAAATAAAAGCCCCTGGGTCAAAACTGGCCCCGCCCCATGGGTGTCATTTAACTATATGTGTATAGTAAAAACTTAAAAAATCTTCTTTTAAAAAAACCCAATGAGCTAGAGCTTAGATTTTTAGCATGAAACATCTTCTTATGGGTGTCTACCAAGTTTGTTCAAATAAAAGCCCTTGGGTTAAAATTGGCCCTGCCGGTGGTGGAGGGGGGGCCTCTATACAGGTGAGCGACCTCAGGGCCATGATGGCCCTCTTGTTTAAGTAGTTGATGTTTATTGTTGATCTATTTTCTCACTTTAGGTTAAATTGAGTGACCATGCTTCTTTTCACAAATAAATGCATTCTACCTGACAGTCTTTCAAATAGGAATTTCTATTGATACTGACAGTAACTCAAGCTGATCACCTAACTTAAGGGTAGGTAAAAGAAAATGCTAAGAGACATATTATTGTATTATTTATTGATTCCTTAAAATTTCAGTGATTGATAATTAGATCAAGTTTCTATCTCATTTGTTTTGTTTTCAGCTGCAAAACCTTTGTGTAGAGCTAACACAGACTGTTACACAGAGAACACTTTGTAAAGTTTATTGTGTGCCAGTGGGAAATAGTAATCTGGTATTTATATTTTTTCTCAATATATATCTAAGATGCAAATTACATCTTTAACCTTAAAATTGACATTTCTGGGCATTCATACTGAAATCTCTGTTGTAACATGTGCATGATAACTACACCGGCATTCTTAGCTGTAATCAGTTGCTCATCATCGTTATACATTAACATGTTGCAATATCACATAATGTCATTGTCTGTGGGGTCTCATAGTTTTAATAGGCTTTATTAGCATAAATGTTTTTAAAAAATCTTTTTGGAAACTTTATTTCCAAAGCTTAGTTATTTTACATAAGGCATCACCTGGTGGTCTTCTACAAAAGTTATATGATTATTGCCCCTCCGGTCAAAAGTGGCCCTTCCCTTTGGCTAATTTAGTTTATGGACTTGTATAATACAAAGCTTGGGTCTTGTAATTTCTATAGACTTCTAAATTACCGCATGTTTTTAATGTCAATTGATAATTGTGATGTTTATAATTACAAGAAAGTTGTCAAGTTATGAAGAAATTTCTTTTTCTCTAAAAAGGAATAGCTCAGGTTATATATGCAAATAACCATTCAAATACACTACAGTCAAATACATATTAGTTTTCTTCAACAAAACTACAATGCCTGTATTCTTTTCGAGATATAAACCTCTTCACTGACTATCCCTCTTCAGATAAACACTCTTCTATTGTTATCCCTTTTGAGATAAACACTCTTCTATTGTTATCCCTCTTGAGATAAACACTCTCCTAGTGTTATCTCTCCTGAGATAATCATTCTCCTAGTGTTATCTCTCCTTAGATAAACATTCTCCTATATTTAACCTTGTTGAGATGAACAGTCTTCTGTTGTTAACCTTCTTGAGATAAATATTCTCCTATTGTTAACCTCCTTGAGATAAACACTCTCTTATTGTTAACCTGCTTGAGATAAACACTCTTCTATTGTTAACCTGCTTGAGATAAACACTCTCCTATTGTTAACTTTCTTGAGATAAACACTCTCCTATTGTTAACCTCCTTGAGATAAACACTATCCTATTGTTAACCCTCTTGAGATAAACACTCTCCTATTGTTAACCTGCTTGAGATAAACACTCTCCTATTGTTAACCTATAAACACTCTCCTATTGTTAACCTGCTTGAGATAAACACTCTCCTATTGTTAACCTTCTTGAGATAAACACTCCTATTGTTAACTTTCTTGAGATAAACAATCTCCTATTGTTAACCTCTTTGAGATAAACACTATCCTATTGTAAACCTTGTTGAGATAAACACTCTCCTATTGTTAACCTGCTTGAGATAAACACTCTCCTATTGTTAACCTGCTTGAGATAAACACTCTCCTATTGTTAACTTTCTTGAGATAAACACTTTCCTATTGTTAACCTGCTTGAGATAAACACTATCCTTTTGTTAACTTTCTTAAGATAAACACTCTCCTATTGTTAACCCTCTTGAGATAAACACTCTCCTATTGTTAACCTGCTTGAGATAAACACTCTCCTATTGTTAACCTATAAACACTCTCCTATTGTTAACCTGCTTGAGATAAACACTCTCCTATTGTTAACCTTCTTGAGATAAACACTCCTATTGTTAACTTTCTTGAGATAAACAATCTCCTATTGTTAACCTCTTTGAGATAAACACTATCCTATTGTAAACCTTGTTGAGATAAACACTCTCCTATTGTTAACCTGCTTGAGATAAACACTCTCCTATTGTTAACCTGCTTGAGATAAACACTCTCCTATTGTTAACTTTCTTGAGATAAACACTCTCCTATTGTTAACCTGCTTGAGATAAACACTATCCTTTTGTTAACTTTCTTAAGATAAACACTCTCCTATTGTTAACTTTCTGAAGATAAACACTTTCCTATTGTTAACCTTCTTGAGAGGAAAACTGCCCTATTTTTAACCTTCTTGAGATAAACACCATCCTATTGTTAACCCTCTTGAGATAAACAATCTCCTATTGTTAACCTTCTTGAGATAAACACTCTCCTATTGTTAACTTTCTGAAGATAAACACTCTCCTATTGTTAACTCTCTTGAGATAAACACTCTCCTATTGTTAACCTGCTTGAGATAAACATCTCCTATTGTTAATCTGCTTGAGATAAACACTCTCCTACTGTTAACCCTCTTGAGATAAACACTCTCCTATTGTTAACCTTCTTGAGATAAACACTATCCTATTGTTAACCCTCTTGAGATTAACACTCTCCTATTGTTTACTTTCTGAAGATAAACACTCTCCTATTGTTAACTTTCTGAAGATAAACACTCTCCTATTGTTTACTTTCTGAAGATAAACACTCTCCTATTGTTTACTTTCTGAAGATAAACACTCTTCTATTGTTAACTTTCTGAAGATAAACACTCTCCTATTGTTAACTTTCTGAAGATAAACACTCTCCTATTGTTAACCTGCTTGAGATAAACACTCTCCGATTGTTAACCCTCTTGAGATAAACACTCTCCTATTGTTAACCTTCTTGAGATAAACACTCTCCTATTGTTAACCCTCTTGAGATAAACACTCTCCTATTGTTTACTTTCTTGAGATAAACACTCTCCTATTGTTAACTTTCTGAAGATAAACACTCTCCTATTGTTAACCTTCTTGAGATTAACACTCTCCTATTGTTAACCTTCTTGAGATAAACTTTCTCCTATTGCTAACCTTCTTGAGATAAACACTCCTCCATCATTATTCTTCATGAAATGAACAGTCTTCCAGGGTTATCTGTCATGTTTCACTTGTTTCTTTATCTATGTACCATATTGTGTGCATTTACCAAATGTTTCAAAATAGAACAAAGAGGATGTATTAACTCAGATGTTGTTGCTTCCATGCTTATTTTACATAACTTAATAATCTATGTTTATTTTTATTATAGAATTTTATGGAAATGTTATCTTCTACTACTGGAGGAAGAGTGATGCAGTCAACTGATGCTAAACACATGAGCCATTGTCTCCTTCATCATGTATGTCTCCACTTTTCTCCACTTGTAATTCTTTTGTATAAAAACGTCATAGTCATAGTACCCTCTGTTAGTGCATTTAAGCAATACCATTTTTAAAAAGGAGTATTAGTGTTATTATGATTTTGATAACAATGTCTAACTTAGTAAGAGATGATAAGAATCACTACCGTTGTCAGAAATTATATTTTGTCTGTCCCTGCAAGATTACGACTGTAGTTTTCTCCCCTGACAGTATATTCCTACAAGATTAAGACTTTTGAAAGACCCCATTGGAAACATGTTCTCTATTCAATATTGAACTTTCATGGCTTATCCTGTGTTGTAAATATGTCTTGAGATCAACTAGATTTATGATTTAATATGAATGTTTAAATTATTAGTTTTGCATTAACTACAATATAATATGATAGATATATCTGTAATAAATTGTAATAAATTGTCTGTAAGGTACTGTAATATAACATATATATATATATATATATATACACTAATTAATCAATCAGAAAAAGGAGTTATCTTCCCTGATATTCTGTTCCATCAATGTTATGACTGTAATGATGACCCTAGACATTCTATTGCAGTAAGATTGTAACTCAAGTTGTTTGCCTTAAAACTATGTTTCTGTTATAAAACTGTTACTTGTTTATATTACAGAATCTGGTTGCTAAACTACGTGAGAATAGTCAGAAGGAACCAACACGTGCAGCTGTAGCCGAGTTACTCAAACAAGTTACAGCTACTGCTGATGAAGATGATATTGTAAGAAATTTAGTTTTTATGATTATAATTTGTCCGGCACCTGTCACTGGGCATAATAAGTCTGTACAAATTTTCCTGGGATATTCCTAGCATTAAGCTCTACCTAACTTGTTCAAATGGTTCTGCTTCATTGAACATCTGGGTCAGAAGGCTAAAAATAGATGTTTTTATAATGAAAGTTTTAGAAATCTTCTCTGAAAGTGCAAAGCCTAGAACTTAGATATTTTGTAAGGAAACTAAAAAAAAAAATTGTTTAAATAATAGCCCTTTTTCTGTCACAGATTCAGGTGCAGATTTGAACTTTGATATCAGTTGGCCTACAATTTGACCCAGCAACCAACTTTTTGTAGTTAGAGCTTTATGTATTAATTTTCTACCACATGCACTTTCATACCATTTGACCTAGATTTCAACATGACGCCTGTCTTTCATCCGTAGTTATTAATATCATCTGAGTCCTCTGTTATTTTGAGCCTTTATACAAAGGTGAGCAACATGGGACATTATGGCCTTCTTGTTTCTCATTCTGCTTTTTAAGTTTGCCACTTCTTGATTTTATGTCATGGACATGTCTTCCATCAGACAGTCAAAACTGAACATAGTGAGTTGAGGTATATCAATATTAATACAATTTGAAAGTTAGCACTGAATAGGAATTTTTGTAAGCCCCTTATATTCTTTCTTTTTTAAAGCAGCCTCTGTAAACAAGGTGAACAAGTACATGTATGCTAAAACAGTTTGAATACTATGATTCTCTGTGCTGTAAATGTATCTCTCTTTCAAAGTTATTTGAGAAGCACTGGGCTCATGCATTTTCAGCCTGAGCAAATTTTTTTCTTGACAAAAAAGTTACCTCCAGATAAGCCAACAGTTTTCAGGAAATTAGATTTAAGAAAAATATACAAATTTAAGAGATAAAGAAAAATAAAAATATTCAGTAATAATTTTTATGTCATATGTGATTTGAGACTTATTTTTCTGTATTTACCACCATATTTCTACTGCATTACTAATCCTGTATGGGCTATTTTTACCTATTTTGATAATTTACATGACAGTATGTATTGTAACTGATATTTGCAATGTGTAAATTACTTTCTTTGTTCATGCATTCACAAACTTTTTACTTTTTCATACATTGCTGCTTTAACCTTCACAATGTAAGATTAATGAGTTAATAGTGGTCATTAATTTAAACTCCTGTGGTGTAAGGTGTTGGTTTGTATATCGGTGTCATATATGACTAGATGTAATCAGTTAGACATTATTATTTTGAAAATATTACTTTGGATTTTTAAGTGATTGATTTTTTTTGTCTAACAGAATGGCGTATTTGAAGTAATCAGAGAAGGGGAGCCAGATGTACAAGCAAGAGATGCACGAGTTGCCCAGGAAATGATGCAAGGTAGAGGAAGAGGTCGAGGTAGAGGTGGCGGAGGTGGAGGTGGCGGAGGTGGAGGTATGCAAGGTAAAAAAATAGAATCATTAAACACAAATTAACATGTTTTCATGACTATCTCTAACTTACATGCTTATTTCTTTTACTGTATAAAGTTAAGTTCTTTGCATAATATAACATTTTTTTTTTTTCATCTATAAGTAGGTGTGTATCATTTCATAAAACATGTTGTTATAATATAGATTGCGTTCCAAAGTCATGGTACAAAATTTACACATTTTTACGTGCATACTATACTCGTAGATATGATAGCTTATTTTATTCATTTCATTTCATGACTTGGTCCAAATTTCAGGAATGGAAGAAATGGCTGCTTTAATGGGACAAGGCCGTGGACAAATGCCAGGGGGCTTACAGTCAATGATGGGAATGGCAGGAGGAGGTGGAAGAGGCCGTGGTTTTCCATCTTTAATGGGCAGAGGTAGACCCGGAGGTGGCATGCCAATGATGACAGAAGGTGGAGGGGGATTAGGTGGAATACAGGCAATGTTAGGAATGGCAGGAAATATGGGACAGGGTGGTGGACAAGGTCGTGGAATGGACAGTTTGATGGGAATGGGTAGAGGTGGAGGAGGACTTGAGGGTCTAATGGGAGGAATGGGTAGGGGTGGAGGAGGACTTGAGGGTTTAATGGGAGGAATGGGTAGGGGTGGAGGAGGACTTGAGGGTCTAATGGGAGGAATGGGTAGGGGTGGAGGAGGACTTGAGGGTCTAATGGGAGGAATGGGTAGGGGTGGAGGAGGACTTGAGGGTCTAATGGGAGGAATGGGTAGGGGTGGAGGAGATGCTGCAGGTGGATTAGGAGGTTTACCTAGTATGGGACAGGGAGGAAGTGGTAACCAAGGAAATAATTTAGAGGCTTTGTTTAATATGAGCAGAGGAGGAAGGGATCAAAGAGATGGTGATGGTTTAGCCTTAGGTGGTATGGGACAAGGTGCAGCTGGAAGCGGTTTTGGTTCAGCTGGTAAAGGACCAGATGGAGGTGGTGATCGAAATGCTTTTCTTGGAATGGGAAGAAAACCGGAAGGAAATGAAGGACAAGGGAACAGAGGAGGGTCTCAAGCTGGCAATTCTGGACTTGAACCTGTGTCTGGACAAGCAAATGGAGCTGGGGAGAAACAAACAATGCTTGGAATGGGAGGTGGGGACAACCAAAATGAACAACAAAATGTTGGAATCGATCAAATGTCAGGTGCTGGCCCTCAAGCAATGTTAGGAAGGGGAAACCCGAACCCAGTTGGTGAAAAAAAAAGCAGAAACCAAGGTGATGCCATACGTCGACAGATGCTTGGATTGGGAAATGCTGAGGAAGAAAATGAGCAAGGAAAAAGTTTGTTTAGTCATTTGCCAGGTGGCAGTCTTCATGCAATGTTGGGAATGGGTGATCTACCTGAAACTTTACCAGGTGCAAAAAAAGAAGGGGATAAAGGCCAGGGCAAGGATAGGAAAAAGAGTAAAAAGAGCCGCTCGGGTAAAGGTCCAAAGCAAGGTGAAGGTGCACAACCAGTAGTTGGTGATGAGGATGGTAGCCTAGGCCAGTTCCAAAGCAAGGAAGATGAGACTGAACAAGGAGCACAAGGTGGTCTTGGCTTGTTATCAGGCGATGGGTCTAAAGGGGCAGAAGCTGCAGAAGGAAATGATATTAAACATAAAAAAAAGAAAAAAGGAAGAAAAACAGCTAGAAAAAATAGTGGTGACAATGGAGAACCCTCAGGTTCTGGTAAAGTCAATGGTAACCCAGAGATTGGAGGATCGGGTAATGCAGATGAGCCAAGAAATGTACCTCCAAGACAAAATCAACGTGGTAGTGGTTTATTTAACAATGTTCCTCCAATGAGCTTTGGTCTTGACGAGCATGGAAAAGCCCACTTTATTGACCTCATGGGTGGCTTGGGAGACAATGACAAAGAAGGAGAAGAGCTTATGGCAAAACTATCTGAATTACTTGAAAATTCTGATTTGGGTGATGATGGTGAAGAAGATGATAATGATAATAATGATGAAAATCAAGGAGAAAGAGGTGGTTTACTCCGAGGATTACCGGATATTCTTGGCTTAGGAGGTAGAAGGGCAGGAGGAATACCCGGTATGCCAGGTAATAGAGGTAACCAACCACAAAATATAGGCGGTCCCCCACCTAATATTAGAGACTATCTCCAAAATATGGGCCGAGAATCTATGGGACAAAACATTGGAGGTGCAAGAGATGAAGATGGGGACGTAATAATGGGGGGACTTGGAGGCATGGGACAGCGACAAGGAGGTGCACCATTTGCTGGTTTAGGTGGTATTGGTGGAGGGAACCTACCATTTGGTGTTAATAGAGGGCAGCAAGGAGCTCCTATGCCACAAGGTAAATTAACATTGAAGCTATTTTTGTTCCATGATACTTGGAAGATGTTATTGAAATTCAGTGCCTATATAAGTTTTGTAAAACTGTAAATGATGTGTTTTACAACATAGAATGATAAAGCTAATTGTAGTTCATTGAATAAAAGGTCATTGATTCTACTGTAATTGTTTTAGGTTTTGGTCAGGCTCCAGAAAACCTACAACAACTTGAACAGATTTTGCAGAATGCTGGAGGAGGTAAGTAATTGTTTTCTCTCTTTCTCCAGTCAAAAGTTACCAATGCATATATGTTACATAACTGAAGTTATGTAAGCAAAAGTATAAGAGGTTAGTGGTATATTTTTGTCACTAGGTCTGCACAATTGAACAATTTGATACATATGTAGTTGTGACATTTGGTTATCCCCACATTAATGAAATTTGTAAATCTAAATTGATCTATAAATAAAATTTAGCATTGTTTTCCTTCAGATCAATACTGGGGAAGAAGAAACATGTATGAAGCTTGCCTAGAATAAATACAAAGAAAGAAATTGCTAAAAATAGTGCCACTGTATTGTCTGTTTCTCATTCGAGTTAAAAATAGCCATGCAAAGATGATTAATAACCCATAACCTGTTTGAACCAAAAGTGATAAGTCTTTGGCAACAGTATGAAGATAGGCCGGCCTGAACTACCGGTTCTTAATACTGTTGACTGACTTATTTCAAATTTTCATCTTTGTATCAACAAACTTAATTATGAACAGTTCCAACAATGGAAGCTGGACAAATCTATTTGAGAACTTCAACCGGTTAATATGTCTATCTGCAGTGATAAACTGTAATGTATTTTACAGATAACCAAGGTATGCCATCTGTAGAACAGTTGCTGGCACAGCTAGGTATGGGTGGAATGGGTAATTTACCAGGCGGACAAAATCCATTTGGAGGTTTGTAAATATATCAGATTTATTGTTAGGTCTTTCAAAGTCGTAATGAGTTTGGTCAGTGATACCACTAACTACCTAGTTTTAGATTCTAAAATGCTCCTCTGTTCCAAATACACAATGTATATCAGGCCAGCATCAACCACCCACAAGAAAGCTAAATAGTTTAATAATATGAAAAAAAGCTATTTCCGTGGAGGGACTTGAACCCATGGCATAAAGTTACTGTGAGATATTTGTAACCTGAGCACTATTATAATTTTTGTCTTTACCTGCTTTGAATTTGGAACGGTCAATTCAACTGGAAAGGGATTTCAGTATCTAAATATAAAAACTGAGCTACCAGAAAACAAGCGCATGGTGTGAGACTGCATGAATGGCACACTGTTTAATGCTGATGAATTTTATTTCCAGCAGGATAAGGGTTAGTCATAGTGGAGACTCAAGTATATACTTGGCAGGGAGATCATATTAGCTCAGGGTGTTTTTTTTGCATGAACCATTGAAAAAAACCTTTTGATTATCTTCTTTTTTTGCATAAACCATTGGAAAAAGATCTTTTGATTATACTCTATTTTTCACATGTTGTTTTTCATCCTAGGTCAAGGTTAATAAATGATGGACCAACTAATGTTGGATAATAAAGAAAAAAACAGATCGGATTTTGCAGACATTTTGTGAGAGACAATATTATGACACTATCAGCCATGTTGACATAACATGTTTCCTAATGATTTCTGTGTAATTCATAAACATTTTGACATAAAGTGATTTCTGTGTAATCTATAATCATCTTCATCATGTTGAAAGTTTGAATCATGAACAGTCAGTTACATGTTGAAAATTACATAAATCATATTACACCATCATGTTCAAATGAAGAAACTTGTCCACATAAAATATTTATGTAAGCATAAAGAGGAATAATTATTTACATAGTGCCATAAAAGATGTATGTACAGTACCCTTGAAAAGTTTTGACAACATAAAGTTTTCAGTTGCACAGGATGCTTGACAAAACACTGAATGTCTCGGTATTTGTATTTTGTCATAATATGGCATTAATGTTGAGATGAAAGTGCTCATAATAATCATTGAAATGATTAAACATTTGTTTTGTGATACTGTTACAGTGTATTTTAAAAACATTCACTCCACATGATAAAATTTATGCCATGTCTAATAAAGTTATTATATAGCAGTGTTTGGGGCAAATATTTCATCACCTTAGTGCAATAATGGATTAAGTCCTTCTAAATTCAATAGGAGTTGACCAGTTATTGCACTAAGGTGACAAATTTTGTCCTTTTTAGACCAGTTTTGGTTCAGATTATTCGTACCATTATTTTAGTGGTTTTTGTTGTTGTTTGTTTTGTTGTTTTTTTTGTTCTTTTTCGTATTTTATTATAATTATTATTTTAGAATGATTCTTACTGTTGTGTTATGTATTGCAATTAAACGGACAATTCATTATTTCAGTCTCTGATACCTGCAAGATTAGTTGTCCTTTGCTTGCAATTTAATTATATTATGGTTGTCCTTTGCTTACAATTATATAATGTACATGTTGACATATTGCATTGAAGTTATGATTATAACCTTGAAGGTTTTTTTAATAAATAAGACTGTTTTTAAAATGTTTTTACAGCTTTTATTATGATACAGAATTAAAATATCTGAAATTGTTGCTACACTTTGAGTGATTTTTGCACTTGTATATACTTTAAAAAAGAGGCATCAGTTAAACTGTAAAACTTTAATGCTCTGTGTTTTAATGGGCACTAAGGCACTTATTCTTTATGTGATATTTTATTTCATAATTTTATAACACTGTATGTGTGTATTGATGCTTTTCATTGGATAATCATGATGTTAATATACATTTTGTAGTTTTATATACACAGCTGCTGTCCAGTTGTGAAGAATTCACATTTTTTCTCTAAAAAAAGGAAGTTTGCTGTATTATAAATATACTAGACTAAGTGGTTTTGGATATATCATGCAAACAACCATTTATAAAGGGCCATATATAACCTGTCAAAATCTTTATATTAACAAATAATATAATGTTTATTAAACATGACGATGATGTAATCATCTGTATAAATGTATATGTATTTAAATTATTATCAACTGTTACATTCCCAAAGCAACTCATTTTTTATCTACATTATACACGTACATTAGTTATTCGTTCTAATACCATATTTTTTAAACCTATTTTGTGTTTAACTACGTCAAAGATTGTACGTGATTACATGTATGTTTGCCCAAAACTTCTGATCTTAGATTATCAGTTTCCTATATATTCATAATAACATGTTTGAATTCATAGTATTTTTTAAATCTTTATAATCATGCATAATTAGATATTTTTGTGCCTTTAAACATGATATGAATAATTTCTTTCATGTACTTGAAAACACAGAGAATGTATTATTATTTTGTATGATTTAATACTTTTTAACATTTGTACATGTATGATTTGAGTGAAACAATATTTGTGAGTGGAATAAACAGGAAATATTCTATCATATCAGTTTAGTTGAGATGTATGTTCCATTCATTTCTTGAATGTATGTTTAATTATAATATTGTGAAGGATAAGTTAAATAAAAAGTGTCCCTTTTAGCCATGGTGTCCAGTTTGAGGGAAGAAAAATTTCGTGTAAAACCACCTTAAGAAGACGGACCATAGAGATTAAACAAATTTCTATTGTTTTGTTGGTTTTTAAGTCACACCAACACAGCTATGGTCCTATGGCAACTTTCCAGCTGCTGATTTGTGCATTATTTCAAGCACAAGTGGTCACACCCGAGTAGAACCACCGACCTTCCATTATCTTAGCTGGATAGCTCCCTCACATGAAATAAAAAACGGACAGAATTTGATGAAAGTTCACAAGAACATTCCAGTTTTATGGGGTTTGGAATAAAACGATGCAGTGGTCCAATTTGTTTATAAGCACTACTGCCGGCAGGGCCATGCTTCCATAATTATATGAATATTGACACAATTTCTGAAAGGAAGCAGACTATACCGGTACAAATATGCTAAATACATTCATCTTGATATATATTATTAAACTATACATTCTAATTTTCAGCTTTGGTGTCCCTTAGATGTCTAAACTCTAAAGAATAATAGCTTTTGGTCAAGTTGTATATTACTCTTAGTAAGAAGCCTTAAAAGGCCGTTGGTATAAAACTAGATGTTTCCTAATGAATAAGATGATAAAATTTCCCAGTTATAAAACAGTTTCCTTATAAAACAGTTTCCTTAAATAAGTAGGACTGCACAAACAGACATGCCTCTTCTTTTCATTTGGCATGCAGGTTTTGATCTTCAGAGTATTTTCACACATTAAGTTTTCGCCCAGAAGTAGATTTCACAAATCTCAATTATTATAGAAATCATGTAAGCCTAGATTTTAATTCATGTGCTTCGCATGTACATGTATTTTTTTTAATTTGCACCTTTTTTTATCAAATATACAAGACAGACTGGCATAGAACTTGCCATTGTCATAACAAAATTAATTTGTCCTGCATACTTGTTAGGAGGGTACAAGGTCACCCATACATGGAATAATTCTGAATCATGTTATTTCAAGCTGTTTCTCAAACAGGAATTTTTTATAAAATCACAAAGAGTTGTATAATTCAGACAAAGATCCTTGCAACAGTTACGAGCAGACTACCTCATAGGAAAAGAATTATTAAGTATAACGATGGGAGATTGTTTGTTTGTTTCATTTTACGCCTTTTCCCAACAGTATTTCAGTCATATAGGCGGGTAGTTTCCTAACCATCGTTCCTAGAGAGTTACACCAGTACTAGACTACCGTCCTCCATGCTAACGATGGGAGATGATAAAGCAAGAGTGCTGCATGTGGTGTTATCATTTGCCTGTCAAGCAGTAATAGTATATATTGAAAAGGGAAACAACCCGTAAAAATATTTGCTTTCAGGATATTGCCCCTTACACTGGACCTTGTGATGATAATCAAGTATTTCATGTTAGTTTAAAAAAAAATCAAATTTACTAAATAGGCAATGTTTACCAAAACGTTAGAGGCATAATTTCAGAAATCTAACTTTCAGCATTGAGTCCCTTGTCTTATTCTTACAACTGCACCTCACTACAATAACAAAGTGTTGTAAGCTTAACAAGAGCCACCGCCGGGCGGGGGCAACGCTCGACTTTCTACTTTTTCTAAATGCAAACATAGAAAGGTTTGAACATATCTTAACGTTTCCTTTTATAAATTTAGTTGGTCTGTCTTGTCACATTAGTTTTGTTTATATATTTTGTATATATATAATGAATAGAAACATTACGCAATTTCTAAAAATAACAACATTACGCAATTTCTAAAAATAGAAACAATGACGCAATTTCTAAAAATAGAAACTATGACGCAAGTTGAAAATTGCAAATTTATACTACTGTAACTGTAAGTCAAGAGCAATAACTCTAACAAAACTGTAAAAAATCCACATGCAAAGTCCCAGGTGCATAGCTTCACAGTGATGTGAATCATTATTCCTTTAATTTAGTGATGTTGATCATTATTCCTATAAAGTTGGTTGATTCTAACTCAAGCACTCAAGGAACAAATAACAACATAATAAAACGTTTTTTACTAAGTCAAGGGAAATAACTCTACAAATACTGGCTAAATCCACAAGCGAAACCCCAGGTGCAAAACTAAATATGCTGAGCAACCTTCCCGTAAGGTTAAATGACTATTTCAAATCCTTTTTGAGTTACATGCGACACAAGTTGAAAATTGCAAAAAATTTCTAAGTCAAGGGCAATAACTCTAAAAATACTAAATAAATCCAGACAAAAATACCCAGATGCACAACTACACATGCTGATCAATATTCCTGTAAAGTTTCAAGACTCTATGCCAAATCCTTTTTGAGTTACATGCAACACAAGTTGAAAATTGCAAGAATTTTACTAAGTCAAGGGCAATAATTATAACTCTAAAAATACTAAAAATAGTGCCATACTGCCATCTATCTATATTTCAAGTTTCATAAAAATATTTTCAGCACTTTTTGCATTATCACAGGATCCAGCTTTTGTGTATTTTCAGTATGTTGCCATAGCAATCAGTTTTCCATACATGAAGAAAAGTAAGAGATGTGCATAATCTCCAGACTGCCATCTATCCATATATCAAGTTTAATACTAGAAATGTGTCAATAGGACACGGGTGCCCCCACATGCCACTGTTCTGTCAATCTTATGACTCTAGGTCAAATATTTTTTGAAAACTAAAAATCTTTTACTAAGTAAAGGGCAAGAACTTTACAAATACTGAATAAATCCACAAGCAAACCCCCAAGGTGCATAAGTACACATGCTGACCAACATTCTTGTTAACTTTCAGGCCTTTTTGAGCTATGCATGAACAAGTTGAAAATTGCAAATTTATACTACTGTAACTGTAAGTCAAGAGCAATAACTCTAACAAAACTGTAAAAAATCCACATGCAAAGTCCCAGGTGCATAGCTTCACAGTGATGTGAATCATTATTCCTTTAATTTAGTGATGTTGATCATTATTCCTATAAAGTTGGTTGATTCTAACTCAAGCACTCAAGGAACAAATAACAACATAATAAAACGTTTTTTACTAAGTCAAGGGAAATAACTCTACAAATACTGGCTAAGTCCACAAGCGAAACCCCAGGTGCAAAACTAAATATGCTGAGCAACCTTCCCGTAAGGTTAAATGACTATTTCAAATCCTTTTTGAGTTACATGCGACATAAGTTGAAAATTGCAAAAATTTTCTAAGTCAAGGGCAATAACTCTAAAAATACTAAATAAATCCAGACAAAAATACCAAGATGCACAACTACACATGCTGATCAATATTCCTGTAAAGTTTCAAGACTCTATGCCAAATCCTTTTTGAGTTACATGCGACACAAGTTGAAAATTGCAAGAATTTTACTAAGTCAAGGGCAATAATTATACTCTAAAAATACTAAAAAAATCCAGACAAAAATACCCAGGTGCACAACTACACATGCTGATAAACATTTCTGTAAAGTTTCATGACTAGGTCAAATACTTTTCGAGTTACATGCGACAAGTTGAAAATTGCAAAATTTTACTAAATCAAGGGCAATAACTCTAAAAATATCCAGACAAAAATACCCAGGTGCACAACTACACATGCTGATCAACATTCCTGTAAAGTTTCATGACTCTAGGTCAAATACTTTTTGAGTTACGTGCGACACAAAAGAGAACAGATGGACGGAAGGACAAGGGTAAATCTAAATGCCCGCCACTAAAGTGGGGGCACAAAAAATATTTTCAGATCTTTTTGCGTGGTATCTGGATCCAGTTTTGTTGACGGACATATGAACAAAAAGACAGACGGGCGGAGGGAAAACCTAAAGTTCTCTCCAGTTAACCCTTAACATGCTGAGTATTTTAAATGGACATGTCCCACTTCCAATTTTGGAACTCTCTATGATGTCAATTTGAATATTTAAAGTTTGTCAGCCAACAGTATAGAGCCTGGTCAAACTGCACGGATGGTGGCAAAGGCTTGACGCTTTCAGTTCCAGCACTTTCAGGGTTAAACGGGTAGGGAACTAATAATCAGTAAAATACAATTGCAAGATTTAAGAATGTCGAACAATTTCAGTACTAAGTTCTGACAGCCTAATTTCAGATATCCAGTAGTGGACACGAACTTAATTCAGAATTAAGATAAAAACAACATCAATCAACTGGCATGATGTTTAATGACCAAGTTATATACAGTACAATGCAATTATTTCTGTTGTTGAGCTGCCTTTCTCATCTTCTGGAGCATATCCTGCATTTCTTCTCGCTTTTTCTTTGCTCGGACATGACTACCCAACTGCAGAAAAAAAATTACATAAATATGAAACTTACAATACAGATATGTATATAGTCTGAAACATTTCCAACATCTTTTTTTTTCCTATTAAATTAGATGTCATAAAGCAATTATACAGCCAAAACTGCATAGAAGGAAATGTTAGAATGATGTCTTATATTGTATTATTTAACTCAAATGCATTGACCCATTCACCTTCCAGGACCTTGCTGGAAGACTAATGATTCACAAAATAGTTTGATTTTATGTCACATAGACACTGTAAAGGTAAAAAAATATTATGGCCACTTTCTAGTTATAATGATATATTCATTTATAATGTACATTACTTCAGTCACATGAGCAGGCACACATAAGACCAGAAACTCTTCTTCAAGTCAAATTAATATCAGCCTGCCCTCGCATGAAAGATTTCAATAGTTCCAGAATTTGGCAGAATTTAGAACCCACAGTGTAGATGGGCAAGTGATTTGTTTTGTCAACTGTGATATGAATCAATCACCCACCAAACTCCCACTGAAAACAGGGCTTTTTTTGCAATATCAAAATTTCGACACCATTAAAAGTACTTTTTTAACCAGCAGCTTCTTTATTGAATTTGATATTACTCAACATTTTTATTTAATATAATGTCTAAAGGTAGTCGAGACATGGTAACTTGTATCCTTTTAAAAGTACAACAGTTAAAATTTACCAGCACTCAAGAAATACAAATATTGTAAATGGAGTATATTATCACGTAACTTGAGAAAAATATTTTACATAAATTACAAACTCAGAACAACAAAATATCATATATGTATGTGGATTAAAAAGTGATTGGTACATTGGGCATTTTACATTTTTTTAAATAATATTGAAACAGAGAAACCACAATACTAAACTTAATTGTATTATTTTTTAACATCAATTTCTATTTGATGCTTATCTTAAAACTGCTTTAAGCTTCTGTTTGTTTGTCTTGTGTACACTTTAATGTTACAATATAACAGTAGTGGAAAAGTCCAAATCTTGCTTAACCAATAGACATAGTAGACATTATCACATTGATCTATCCATGATTTGTTCGAATGTATCTCCTTAAATTGGATATAGATGTAGCAATTAACAATTAATCACTTTCAGACAGAAAAACTTTTCTTCTAAACTGATTCAACACATACCCTCTTTTTACAGAACTTGAGTGCTCTTTTGTCTTTTGAAATTCTCAGCAATTCCTGTATTCTTCTCTCATATGGGGCAAAGCCAGTTATCTCCCTTACAAGATCACGTACAAATCTTGTCTTCTTTGTGACAGTCTGAATAAAATGCATACAGTTTTACAGACTCCATTATGTAATTTATGAACAATTTATAACCAGCCAGTTTAAAACATTCACAATAAAAAAATGTTACATCAAGACACAAGAAGACTAAAAAGTATTTTACTTGTCTACATGGACCAAGTAACCCACAAACCCACTGCCTAAAGCCAATTTTGACACCAGAGGCATGTTTTTGTAGAGGACCACAAGCTGAAGGTGATGCTTGCCAAATATCTAAGCCTCGGTCATTCTTGTTTAGTTTTAAAAGACTTTTACTATCTAAATCTGTTAACTAAGTAAAAATATCTGTTTGCTATTGCCGGCCGACCTGGCGAAAAGCCGACTCAAAAAGTTTTTTTCAGCTTAAAAAAATCAGATTTTTTTTTATTTCCGCCAAATCAGCCAGGGCATTCGACCTGAAAAATGCCCTCGAAAACAAAAATAAAATCGGAGGAAAATCACACATTTAACATTGACCCCAGGGCTTTTATTTGAACAAACTTGGTAGACACTCACTAGAAGATGTTTCATGCCAAATATCTAAGCTCTAGCTCTTAGGGTTTTTTAAAAGAATATATTTAAAAAAATTTCTTTCGGTTGCCATGGCAACCAGAGTTCTGCATCAGCCATGGACTTAAATTCTTTGAACAATTTTTAAGGGCAACCACCAAAGGAACATTTCTGTGAAGTTTGGATGAAATTGGCTTGGTGGTCTTTATACTGGAAAGGGTTTTGACCGTAGGATCACAATTTATTCCAAGAAGATTTTTAAAACATAATTTTTGCTCCAGTCCTCTGTGACTTATGCATCAGACTGGGACCATATAACTTTTGTAGAGGACAACACAAAGATCATTACTGTGAAGTTTGGTCAAAATCCACTTTAAGGAGTTGTTTAAAAAAATTGTGGATAACTACAGACACTGCCATCACAAAAGCTCACCTCTGCGCACTAAAGTGGAACAAGAACCGGTTGAACCGGGTGATGCTCCCCGAGAAGGTTCTGGACACAGGAAAGTATAAAAAAAATGAACAAAGGGCAATAACTCCAAAATTACACCAGGCTTTGTTTAGGTTCTTGAAGCGTTGCAGTTCTATCCAATTATATCTAGCTACCTACAAAGTTTCATGTTGATATCTCTAATAGTTTTAAAGTAATGTCCAGGACAAAAGTCAAAAAGTAAAAATAAACAAAGGGCAATTACTTCAAAATAAGGCAAGGCAGAGTAATGATTCTTAAGCACTGCACTTCCACCCAATGAGACCTATCTATCTACAAAGTTTCATGTTGATATCTCTTATAATTTTAGAATAATGTCCCAGACAAAGTTCAAAGTGTCAAAATGAACAAAGGGCAATAACTACAAAAGAAGGCAAGACAGTGTTACAGTTCTTGTGCACTGCAAACTTACTCAATGAGATCTATCTACCTACAAAGTTTCATGTTGATATCTCTTATACATTAAGAAATATGTCCCGGACAAAGTTCAAAGTGTAAAAAATAAACAAAGGGGGATAATTAAAAAATTAGGCAAGGCAGAGTTAAGGTTCTTGTTCACTGCACACCTACTCAATGAGATCTATATACCTACAAAGTTTCATGTTGATACCTCTTATACTTTTAGAGTTATGTCCCGGACAAAGTTCAAAGTGTAAAATAAACAAAGGGGGATAATTCAAAAATTAAACAAAGGCAGAGTTACGGTTCTTGTGCACTGCATACCTACTCAATGAGAACTATCTACCTACAAAGTTTCATGTTGATACCTCTTATACTTTTAGAGTTATGTCCCGGACAAATTTCAAAGTGTAAAATAAACAAAGGGGGATAATTCAAAAATTAGGCAAGGCAGAGTTACAGTTCTTGTGCACTGCACACCTACTCAATGAGATCTATCTACCTACAAAGTTTCATGTTGATACCTCTTATACTTTTAGAGTTATGTCCTGGACAAAGTTCAAAGTGTAAAATAAACAAAGGGGGATAATTCAAAAATTAGGCAAGGCAGAGTTACAGTTCTTGTGCACTGCACTTCTACTCAATGAGATCTATCTACCTGCAAAGTTTCATGTTGATACCTCTTATACTTTTAGAGTTATGTCCCGGACAAATTTCAAAGTGTAAAATAAACAAAGGGGGGTAATTCAAAAATTAGGCAAGGCAGAGTTACGGTTCTTGTGCACTGCACACCTACTCAATGAGATCTATCTACCTACAAAGTTTCATGTTGATACCTCTTATTCTTTTAGAGTTATGTCCCGGACAAAGTTCAAAGTGTAAAATAAACAAAGGGGGATAATTCAAAAATTAGGCAAGGCAGAGTTACGGTTCTTGTGCACTGCACTTCTACTCAATGAGATCTATCTACCTACAAAGTTTCATGTTGATACCTCTTATACTTTTAGAGTTATGTCCCGGACAAAGTTCAAAGTGTAAAAATAAACAAAGGGGAATAATTCAAAAATTAGGCAAGGCAGAGTTACGGTTCTTGTGCACTGCACACCTACTCAATGAGATCTATCTACCTACAAAGTTTCATGTTGATACCTCTTGTTGTTTCAATGTTATGTCCCGGACAAGAAAAGGGGACGGACGGACGGACGGACGGACGGACGGAAAGACGGACGGACGGACGGACGGACAAGGCGGCGACTATATGCTCCCCCGAAATTTTTTCGGGGAGCATAAAAATCAAAGCAAGGTCCACAACTTCATCAATATCAAATGCGTCAAAACTCAAAATTTTTATGAAATTGTGAGGTTACACTCCAGTAGTACATAAACTAAAACATCAAGTGACAAGTCAAAATATTCATAAAGAAATATATTACCCCTCTCCTCCTTGATTGCCTCTTCTTTGAGGGATTATCTATTTTAGTTGTTTTATGGCCTTTGGTGAGCCCAACGGCCAAATCATATTTTGGGAGACCCATATCTGCAATGAAAAATCATAACATTTATCAAATAAAGTTTTAACGTGTCACTATCCAGTAAAGAATTTGAATTGAAAGAAAACCAAATTATGCTTTCATTTCTTCATTTTATATCAAATAGTAATATTGGCTCCAATCCTAACAAAAGAGTCAAATATACAACAGCCAAGATATTTTAGCTGAAAAATATTTTTCTATTATACTTGTATTAGTACTATTACAGCAAAATATCCCGAAGTCATACGGCCTCCATTCCCCTCAATTAGGTCCAAAATTAGTATTTTAAAAGAGACGGTAAACAAAAGCAGCAAGGGATAAACAGGTCCAAGATATCCCTTCAATCGAGAGATTATCTTTAATACGAAAGATAATCTCTTCTTTTACATATAAATTTATCTTTCGATCGAAAGACAATTTTGTTTTATTTAAAAAATTCCGATAGTTTTAAAAAAGCGCATCCGAAATCCGTTTTAGACGAACACACATCAACATATTCTATGATGTAAAGCGGATTTTTTTTGAAGAAAATACGTCACTTCCAGCGTAAATAAGTTTTTATGCATGTGCATACTTCATTTCTGGAGAGAACCTACCATAATTTGTTTAAATTTGCACACAAGGTAAATAATAATTAGAAAAAGTAAAGTGCCATGTTCTTCTTCACATTTTCGTCGCCATTTTGGAGCCCCTTGATGTAACCCAAAGACTGCCAAAACAACAGTTTTATTTACAATATTTTGTATATTTTTCGTAAAGAAATTGGTCAATCTCTGCTATTTTGGATTATTTGTCATCCAATAATAACGCTGTATTTCTTAAAAATTATGTGTGTTAATTTTCATAGAAGAAAGAAAGTCGATACTATATTGAAATTCGTTCATAGTCGCCTTCTATTTTTCATAGTGCTTCATAGTACCGCCTAGTGACGTAATCAAGGGCCAAATAAAGCTTGACACTAAATATGTTCGTGTTCATCCTTAGCTGTTTTACAGAAATTAGAAACATTCTCCTGTCGCTATCGCTCCCTTCGAAGTTTCTAATTTCTGTAGAACAGCACAGATGAACACTAACATATACGCAGACTGCATTTTCCAGCAGACAGTTATTCGTTCGCAGAATATGACGACAACAAAATAAATAATTTTGTCTGGGCGCTTTCAATATATGCAGTAACGTATAAATGCAAGCGTTTATTAACTAGTTGAAATTGGCTAAATGCCGGACCACGGACCCGGTAAATTTCATTTCTCATTAAAATTATAGTGGAGCCCACGGTAAACATTCCGTACATTTTTATACTGAATTGACGGTTTATAGTCTGTATATCTGACTTGTGTTGAAATCAGCGACGGTGAAATTCTTGCGTCACAAAATACGCACTAACTAAATTTCATTGCGTCATGGCTGAAAATAGTGCGCCAAAAACGCAAAAACGCGCTCTGGCAGAAACACTGCTTTATGAAGGATTCTGATACTTTTTGCTGCAGCCGAGTGTTAAACAATTTTCCCGGCATGCAATTGACAAACAAGATTGCATTTGAGAAAAATGCTATGCCACCGCATGGTTCAAATTTCATAGCTGTACATCAAAGGACAAGAAAGTAGGTCACATCATCAAAATCTAGGTCACCTGATATCAAAGTTCAATTTTACAACTAAAACTGTGCACGTGGTCAAAATGTCATTGCTGTACATCAAAGGACAAGAAAGTAGGTCACTGTCCCCTTGGGCAAGGCATAATTTTGACCCAAGGGTTTAATTCAAAACAATTTTGATACAGGTCCACCAAATAACATATCTAAGCTATAGCTTTCTCCCATTCAGAAAACATTTGTTTTATTTTCTGTAGGGTTGGACACCGGTTCCCGGTATCGGTCCTATACCGAATAGTAACTTCGTAAATTACCGGTATATACCGTTTCGTAAAATACCGGTACTGGATTTGATACTTTTGTAATTTTGTAAAAAAAAAAAATTAAATAGTCAATATGTCAAAAAAATAAGAAGATTTTTAAATAAAAACAGCCTACAAACACGTTAAACAATATGAATTACTATTATCATGCGGCGAGTACGGCTTTCGCGGCAAACTTAAAGTTTGTGACGCGGCGATATTTTTGTAAAAGTATTGTGCCGCTTATGTTCAAGATAATAATATTTTTGTACTCAGCAGGAAAATAGAATTATTCGAACTGATTTTGCTAAAAGTTTGTAAGTTTTAAATGTCAAAGAAATAACGAGAAAACAAATCAAATACTTTAGTAATCATCGGAACATCGCACACAGTCCTTCCAAACACATCGCACACAGCTTTTGCCGTAATGACAATGTAAATCCAACATATGACAATTATTTATTTAAAGAATGCTTTTAAAAAATAATTAAATCCTTTTTTCAGTTTAAGTCTCTAAACACTCATAATGAATACATATTTAATGTTTCCAGGTTCTTTTCATCCATTACCACATGTACAAATCCACACGTTAATTACGATTTTAACATAAATGAGGCCGAAATATTCCAACAAAATATGCCTCTATTTGTTTTTGGTGTAACACTGAACTATTATTAAACATGTATACATTTTCTTAACAAAAGAATGCTGACAGCACTTCAATCAAAAAGTGTGAATGTCGGCGGCTCTTTGATGGTGATAGAGTAACAACATCAAAGGGAGGCATATTCTTTTGAATAGCCTATTATGCACCTGTCAAAGGTCAACTTGTGTGTATTACACATTTAGATCTGTGATACTTTAAACAACTGTAACATATTTCATATTGTGTTTTGTAGGATTTTTTGCAAATGTTGGCTAGTATTTTTGCGTATTTGAGCAGTATGGAATTATGCAATTTGGTAAGGACAATACTTTTTTCTGTGGTGCATGCTATTGAAAAATAAAAGATGTATACAATTGAAGGGTAAATTCAATATTAATAAATACCAAATCCTTATTATTTGTAAAGCATAGGTATTTGCTTTATGACTTCTACAAAGACTAATATTAGGTTAACATGAAAATGTAAACAAGTCATTTTGGAAACAGTCTGTGCTGACTGTGCATATACATGTATTTCAAAATTTCTAAGTTAATTACTGGTGGAAAATATGTTTGTGCTGTTGTAGTAGAACAGACTGGAAACATAAGTGACTTTGAAAAAAACATCTTATGAAATTTCTTACATGTAATTCCAAATTGCAAAGTAAGCCAACCAATCCAGTGATTTCATTTATTACAGTAAACAATAATGTGATTTAAAAAGAATATCAGCATCAGAATAAAATTTCTACACAGTTATAATAATAGCTGTAAGAAAATAATAGATAACCAACTGTCTTAAATTCTTTCAGATGTAGAGATATCAAGATTAAAACAATAATTTGTAGACTTCTCAGCTGCAGACTGCTGTCCTGCATAAGATATTTTGCTGTGTTTAAATTATGTCATGTCCTTTTGATGAAAAAGTAAAAGTATTTTACAATTAACATGTGTAAATGTTGTAAAAAAGAGTAAACACAAAACAACAAAAGAAAATTATACTTTACAGCATGAAATTTCAGAAAGACCAGTAATGTAACATATTTATTTTCTATTACTACAGTTCTTATACTTGCAGCAACGGGTTTGGTATTGTAAAAGTATCAGTATCAGTATCGATAAAATACCCGTATCGTTTCGTCAGTACCGGTATCGGTATCGGACCGTTTCGTGAAGAACGATATCCAACCCTAATTTTCTGTTTTTACTATGTGTACATAATGAGAATCACTGCCCCCGGGCAGGGCCAATTTTGACACCAGGGGAAAATTTTGAACAACTTTGGTAGAGGACCTATAAATGATATTATATATCAAACATCAAAGCTCTATGCCTTGTACTTTCAGACAAAAATATTTTTCATTTTTTCACTATATGTACATAATGAAAATCAATGACCCCCAGGGGTGGGGCCAATTTTGACCCCAGGGCTATAATTTGAACAATCTTGCAAGAGGTTCACTACACAATGTTTCATGCAAAATATCTTAACTCTAGCCTTTGTAAATTTAGAGAAGATGATTTTTTAAGTTTTTACTATATACATATAAGGAAAACCTATGGCCACCGGGGCGGAGCTAATTTTGACACAAGAGGCAAAATTTGAATAACTTTTGTAGAGTACCTTTAGATGATATTATTTAACAAATATTAAAGCTCTAAGCCTTGTACCTTCAGACAATAAGATTTATTTATTTTTTACTATATGTATATATTGAAATCAATGACCCCAAGGGTGGGGGCAATTTTGACCCCAGGGCTATAATTTGAACAATCTTGCTAGAGGTTTACTACACAATGTTTCAAGCAAAATATCTAACCTCTAGCATTTGTCAATTGCTAGAAGAATTTTTTTTGAAGTTTTTACTATAAGTTTTTACTATATACATATAAGGAAAACCAATGACCTCCGGGCGGGGCCGATTTTGACCCCAGGGCTATGATTTGAACAATCTGGGTAGAGGTTTACCAGACAATGTTAATGCAAAATATATAAGCTCTAGGCCTTTTTGGGTCTTTACAAGAAGGTGTTTTAAGTTTTTACTATATGTACATATAGTGAAAATCAATGACCCCGGGGCGGGGCCGATTTTTGACCCAAGGGCTATAATTTGAACAATCTTGGTAAGGGTCTACCAGACGATGCCTTATGCAAAATATCTAAGCTCTAGGCCTTTTGGGTTTTTACAAGAAGATTTTTTAAATTTATTCTTATAATTCCTTTTGGTTGCCATGGCAACCAGATTTCTGCATGGAATGAAATTCTTTGAACAACTTTGGAAGCCCTTCACCCAAGGAACAATCCTGCCAAGTTTGGTTGAAATTGGACTAGTGGTTTTTCACAAGAAGATTTTTTAAGTTCACTATATAATCTATATAACACACACACAAACACACACACAAACACACACACACACACACACAGGTGAATCGCTATATGCCACCGCATCGCAGATGCTGCGGTGGCATAAAAATGGACGCCATGATAAGGAAGTCATCTTGCGTGGTTATTTAAATGCAGAAAAATACTTGTAATATGGTATTATTTCATATTATCTGTAATTCTTTCCTATATTTTGTTAGAAATAAGTGTTCCGCTTTTAAATGATTTAATTTATTGATGAAAAACGTTGTAAACCACAATAAAATACATGTGGCGAATCAGATTCAGGAGAAGACATGATGCGGAAATGCTCAGACAATGTAAACAACAAAAGCTGTCACAGGAGACAGCGAAGCTCGACTAATAAAATACTGGACACAGTAAGGAGGACAAAATACGAAAGAAAAATCAAGTTTGTATAATTATGTATTAAGTTATAGTAAAAAAATAACATTTGTTAACATAAATTCCAAGATCAAGGGGAATAATTCTTTAAATAGTCATGCTAGAGTTATGGACCTTGTCACACAACATTAATTTTGTGTAATGATAAGAAATATATATTTGAAGTTTGAAGTAGATACCTTAAAAAGTAAAGAAGTTATAATATTTGTTAAAGAAAATCCTAAGTTCAAAGAGAGAAAATCTGTAAATATTGCTTCAAGAGTTATGAACCCTGTCACATAAAATGTAATTGATGATAAGGAATACTAGTAAGTATTTGAAGTTTGAGCTAAATACCTTTAAAACTAAAAACGTTATAGTTAAAAATAATTTTTTTCTAGTAAAAAAATCTAAGTTTATGGGGAGATAGTTCTTGCAATATTGGTGCTAGAGTTATGAACCTTGTCACATAAGATGTGGATGATGATAACGTAAATATATTTGAAGTATGAAGTTGATCCCTTTAGAAATAAATAAGTAACAGTAAAAAATAATATTTTTTATGGAAAATTCTAAGTTCAAAGGGAGATAAATCTGAAAATATTGGTGCTAGAGTTATGAACCTTGTCACATAAGATGGGGATGATGATAACGTAAATATATTTGAAGTATGGGGTTGATCCCTTAAGAAATAAAGAAGAAACAGTAAGAAATAGCATTTTTTGAGGAAAATTCTAAGTTCAAGGGGAGATAAATCTGAAAATATTGGTGCTAGAGTTATGAACCCTGTCACATAAGATGGGGATGATGATAAGGTACATATATTTGAAGTATGAGGTTGATCCCTTAAGAAATAAAGAAGTAACAGTAAAAAATAGTATTTTTTAAGTATTTTTTAAGGAAAATTCTAAGTTCAAGGGGAGATAAATCTGAAAATATTGGTGCAAGAGTTATGAACCTTGTCACATAAGATGTGGTTGATGATAAGGAACATATATTTGAAGTTTGAAGTTGATACCTTAAGAAATGACAAAGTTATAGTGAAAAATATTTTACTGCACAAAAACTTTAATCTAAAATCTGGACGCGGACGCCGACGCCGGGGCGAGTAGGACAGCTCTCCATATACTTCGTATAGTCGAGCTAAAAATCGACCGTGTTACACGTTTATCGGGCGATATCTTTCAATCGAAAGATAAATTTATATGTAAAAGGAGAGATTATCTTTCGTTTTAAAGATAATCTCTCGATTGAAGGGATATCTTGGACCTGATAAAAATCTCAATGTTGTTTCTTCTGTTTGGTTTTATAGCGCACCAACACAATTTCGGAATTAATGGGCAGAAACAGGAAAGATGATGGTTTTAACTGCTTGTGTTAAGACTTATTTATTACAAATAATTTACTTTGGTCTTAATCTGAATAAAATAATAGGAAGCGGCTAGCTGTAACGGCCTAACTTAGAAACATAAAATAACATAATGCATTTTGGACTTTCATATAATTTAAAGTGCCGTACAGCTAGACAATTCAACAAGTGTGTCCTGGCTAGCCATATGTAACTTGCATCTAACTAACTTTTGGCTAGCTGTATGGGCCTGTACGGCTAGCCACTTCCAAAATAATAAGTTTTCTCAGTTGAATAGATCTATTTATGTAGCTTTTCAATAAAAATTTTAAATACAATAAGTGAAGTAAAACGCCTGGCAGGTGCAAGAGGACTAGGAGGGACTGTTTAAGCCTAATACCTTGGAATTATGGGTACCAAGGAAATATGAGGCACCTGTATATAATGCAGACCTGTGTGATTTTCAAAATCATCTGGTCAAACTGCTATCAGATTAAATTAATTTGTAAATGTCATAAAATATCTATAGAATGAATTTACTCATGTAACAAGGAATATTTGCAGCTTATTTCTGTATTTGTTACTTGTATCAAAACAATTATTTAAATATATATAAATCTTGGCTGTTTTAGCTTTTAGCGACGACTCGGATCCCTTGTGTGTTTTAACTAACAATTTCTATAAAAGTTAAACAAGAAATCAAAAAACTTTGTATGACAATTGCAACAAAATTGCTGTTCGTAGCATATTCAGGGTGAAAAAGTGTCGATTTACTATAGAAGCGAACGATATATGAAGATTTATACAAAGTTATCGTCACATAACAATCATGTACCTATTTAAAACCGGAAAAGGAAGATACGCATTCGGATATGTTCAGTGAAGATGAGAATGACTACATTCTGTATGACATCGTTATTTTTCCGTACACTTTTTTTAAGATTGAACACCTCTAAATAATATGTTTCCTTAAAGTTGTAAAACGCCTTATATCACTTTGCTCACTGTGATAGATACTAAACGGAAGCTTATGTGCACGGACTTTATTAAATTAAAATGCACCCTTATATAAATGAGTGAGACTAAAAATAGGATTGGAGCACCACACTAAATACCGTATTCGGGTATATACCGGACAAGGCGCTTGAATGATAAAATGCTAAAATCTTGCCTTTTTACCCAACGGAATGAACTATAGAAGGTCTAATTCGTCTTTTCACATCGATTTTTGTTTGTAAATGCATGAAAAATGTAATAATCGGCGAATAAAACGATGTTTGTCTATTTTGTGATCATGAATTTTACATGCGTCTAGAGGTACTGCTCCAATCCTGTAATGAGTTAAATTCTATATAAATTAAAAAATGTAGTAAATCTTAAAAATTGACCATATGCCCCACCCAAAATTAATCATATAATGCAACGAACATCATTGCATAAACACAGGCGATCTGAAACTCCCAGATAAGCAATAATTAAAGTCCGTGGCATAAACAAGTGTAGTTGTAATACCACAGATATATTTAGCTCCATGGTAATACTGATACAATTATAGTTCTATGAAGGAAGTGTTGGTGTTAACTGTAATTTACTGTAAGTTAATAATGTAAAATAACAAAGACAACACATTCTACATTGTGACATGTGCATAACGGGCAACATATTCAATCAAAGGATTCAGTACACTATCTGGATCAACCATTGGCCGGAGTCTTACTTTTGATTTAATAATTATGTCAGTCATTGCAAAGGCTTAACTCTAGACTAAAAATTCTTTATATGAAAAAGATTACTGCATATCTTGCCTTACTAAAAGTGATTAGCCACTTCTATTATCCAGTACCATTCGTTTATAAATGTTGAACTCTACATATGGAATATACTTCCTCAAAGTATAAGAGATGTTTGTTTGTTTGTTTGTTTCATTTTACGCCTTTTCCCAACAGTATTTCAGTCATATAGGCGGATAGTTTCCTAACCATCGTTCCTGGAGAGTTACACCAGTCCTCAGCGCTAAACTACCAAAGCATCTCCCGGGGATCGAACCCACGCAAGAGAGGTAATTGGATTAGAAGAAATCGACTCTAACCCCTCGACCACGGAGGCGGTAAAGTATAAGAGTATAAGAGATAATAAGTCCTTTAGTAAGTTCAAGATCAAAAGAATGCCTTTATCTATGGCTCATTTTTTATTAGCATGCAACGTAAACAATAAATTATTGACAACCACGCGCTCAGTACAAAATTAAGCCGGTTTACTACTGCAGGGTTTTCATAACATTAAAATATGAAACAAGACGTGTAAATGTGTAAACCGACTTGGATACAAATCTAGTGTTACGTACGTGTTAGACTGTTGTTTATAAAATAAAACTATGATTAACCTCCCCTTTTGCGTGTATGATGATGCAATGCTAATTAAATAACGCTTTTTTGCTACTTATGGAGTAAACTCATTTTTTTAAATAAGAAACTGAATATGACAAGTTATTTCTCTCTTGCAGTCTAATTTAAATAAACAACATATTATATATTTTCATTAATACACACCGTTTTTAAGCATTTTAATGAACAACAAGGCAGCTTCAGGTGTTTACAAACTATTGACCTAAGCTACTGTAGAATACTGCCAGCCACTGAGGGCCAAACCCAGTCCCGAGGGTCAAAGCCTGTCCTGAGGACCAATCCCTGTTCCCCGGCTTGATTCGCCACTGTCTTAAGTCTCTTTAAATTCTCACATGTACAAACATAGTACATGAAATTCATATACGTTTAAAATAATGTAAGACAAATCAACTGAGATTTATAAAAGACATATGTAACCATTATCAAAAATGACTAGTCACAAATAAAACAGATAAAAACTAGGATACTCTGATATGAAAGAAAAAGAAATGGAAAAATAACGGTAAGTAAAGAGTTTGAACGATACAAAACAAGGCATAACACTTAAAAAAACATATTCTTGTACTTTTATGAAGTAAAACAAATAATGATATGAGATTTTTTATGAATAACATTTGTACAAATATACATACAGAAGAAACAACGGAGGCTTATTGTATAGACTTATTTAAAACACAGGCGTTGGGCACATTTGCCTCTCCAATAATGGTCAAATTATCATTAAAATCTCCCTTTTCACGACCGGTAATCAGAACTGCGTCGTTTCCTACAAAATATAATGAAAGTTACGCCGCCATCTTGGAACAAAAATGCAATGTACATTCTATGTCTCTGTTTATTACCTGTTTTGTTGGAATGACTGAAAACCAGATATATGTATTAATGTAGTATCCAGGCCGGAACATTATCAAGGATGCCAAGCTGAGCTTCTTAGGACGATTTGGGAGCGTTTTCACGTCTTTTATTTTTCATCTACTTCTTTGTGAGGGTTCCCATATTATTGTGAATCCTCAATTTAATATATATACAATATCAGTTTCTTTTGCATCTTATAGATCATATATTTTCACATACAATTTTCTTGTTTAAAACAACTGGACGCAAATCTGTTAGTTTATTGTTTATCTGATTATTATATCTTCACTGGGTTTGATAACATTTTGCATTAAACTTATATGTTATTTTGACAGACCGATAGCATATTCAATGTTGTCTTGAACGAATTCAATGATGCAACTTCTACGACCTCAGGATTTAATGTGTTTCACGAATCCACAACTCTATGACTGAATGTGTTTTTTCTTGTGTAATTTATTGTCTTTGGCTTGAGTATTTTATACTTGTGACCTTTGGTAATGGCGCCTTCTCGTATTTTTAATATTTCTTTGTCTATTTTATCAATGATGTTAATTATTTTATAAGTTTCAATCATGTCTGCTCTATTTCTTCTGTGTTCTAAAGTTGGCATGCCTAATGTAACAGTCTTTCGCTATATCCTTTCCCGGATAATTCACTTAATACTCTAGAAGCTCTTCTTTGGATATTTTCAATGGATATCGCAACTTTTTTTAAATTTACTGACCAAATTGCGGAGCTATACTCAAGATGAGGCCTGACAAGAGATGTTCAAAGTTATAGGAATATTTCTTTGTTCATATTAGTAAAGTGTTTGACTATAAGTCCCAAGTGTCTGTTTGCATTAATTACTTTACTGCTTATATGTTTACGAAATGTCATTTTGCAATCAAAGATCACGCCAAGGTCTTATTCTTCGCTTACTTGTTGAATTTTGCAGGTATTATTGCTTGAGTCTTTCATAAAATAATCACATGGTATGTTTTGTCCAATGTGCATGGTCTTACAAATTTTATTTGTGTTGTATATCATTTGTCATTTACTTGCCCAATTACACATTTCGAATATATTGTCCGGAAGTTGAGTTTAATCATTGTGCCCATTAATGACAGAATATAGTTTGTTGTCGTCTGCAAAGAGTTTCGCTGTACAAGTAATTGCATCTGGGTGATCGTTTATAAATATCAGGAATAGAATAGGTCCTAGTACACTACCCTGACGGACACCACATGTTACTGTTCGCCATCCTGAAAACATTCCATTTATCTTTACGCTTTGTTGTCTGTTTTCGAAAAGAAATTGATCCATTCATAAAATTTACCTCTTATACATAGCTTCACACCTTATCAAGTAGTCGTCTGTGAGGTACCTTATCGAATGCAGCTTTGATATCAATATACACAATATCATACCTTTCGTGTATTGCTTTAGACCAGTCTCCATGCAGTACATTCTAAAAGTTGTATGGTGCAAGACCTTCCTTTCATAAATCCATGTTGATATAAAGACAGTTGATTGTTTTCCTCTAAATGATATACAATAGCATTTATGATTTTTTAAATAATATTATTGATGTTACACTGATGGGACGGTAGTTTGCTACATTATTTTTGTTCCCTGCTTTGAAAATTGTAGTAATATTTGCTTCTTTCAAAGCTCCACACAGTACTTTTCTACATTCGAATACAACATTCAAGGTATGCTAGTAACGTAACTTTAGTAGCTAAAATATGAACTACAGTAGAAACCCTACTTAAGACCACCTCAGAATTAAGACCACCCCGCTATTGAGACCAGTTTTAAAAGAACGGAATTTTCTGTTTCATTATGTCAATGGTTACATGATCCAGAATTAAGACCACCTCGCTTATCCACTGTTAAGACCACCAAATTCAGTCCCAATGCTTTGTTTTGTTCTTTATTTGACCTCACTATTGAGACCACCGATATTCAAATCAACACCTACCTAGATCGTAAATTTGTTGATATGTTGTTATTATCTGCTTGAATGCTCTTAGGCATGACGCTTGATTTCACAAGGTGTCAAAAACTGTTGTTATTGGGTTATTGTATGAATAAGGTGAGAAAGTAAATTTAAGAGTGGTTTAATGTTGCTTTAAGCACATTTATTTTGTGCAGAAATAATGTCTGATATGATATGTGATTTATGTACATCATACAATGATTAATTTTGAAATCAGAACAAAAAGAATATTTGATATTAAATTTATTCACCTATCATTTTTGAAAGATGAAAATAACCATTTTTGTCCAATGTTTTTGTAGTATATACAGATGTTTTCCGACAAACTCCGTAACAGTTATCGCAAGAACTCCTGAACAAGTTATCATAAGAACTCCATTCTTCGTGTATCAGTTCCTCCCCCGTGATTTGCCTGCATACATACATTAAAGAGCTAGTTTTCAACTGATACCTTACTGTATCGTTTGTACAAAATACCATTTTCATACAGTACGATGTTATTTATTTAGTTTCACTATTTCAATTTCATATATATTTTAATATCTCCATAAGTAAGTAATAAATATCAAATATGTAAAAATGGATATGAACTATATTTTAGAAGAATATTTCTTG